ACCGGCTTCAGAAAAATTTCAAAATTCAGTGAGAATGTTTTCGGACCTCAATCTATGAGGAACGAACCAGACTCGAGGAAATCCTGGAAGCAGATGATAAATTCGAAAATGCAATTGAAGAAGTGGGTACGCGTGAAGAAGTTGGAATTGTTCGTCAAGAATTCGGAACTGTTTGTCAAGTTTTCGCCAAGAAATGGATGGTAATGTTCAAAAAATGAAATTTAAGAAGTTGACTTAAGGCTCTAAAATGTGTCAATCTGCTCTTGTTATAGGTTGTAAGTATTTAAGTATTATTAATTAGTGATTTAATCATTTAACGCCATTGATCGATCGTACGAAATCCGAAGAAATTTACTGTAGGGGAAAAAAATTTCATTCTGTTTTTTTGAGTGGCCTTCTTTTGTGTGTAAATATACTGAACGAAAAAGGAAAAAGGGACATTTTCAATTTTGGATGGTCGTAATGATATCATATCAATCTTTACATTATTAGCTGTGTAAAAAAAAATCAAATGGGTATAGTACATACAAGGTGCCAGATGTAATAAGATTAATGTCTTTTTGCTACTCTGAGTCTCAATCCCTATAAGATAGCACTTCAAATTTTTCTCTAATACAGAAATTATCCAATATAGGCTGTCGATTTTTCGTTAATCCCCATTCCTATACTCTCACCCTTCAAAACTAAAAATATTACCTACTTTCTATATTTTGCACGGTAGTGGTTCCTTTTTTTTCGCAATTTCAATCGCAATTATTTTATATGTATTTAAGATTTCATGTGAAATACCGATACCTACTAAACCGTGCCACCAAACTACAATGTGCATTGTTTTATTTTAAAACAATGTTAGGTTTCGCAAAACGCGAGAGGCGAGAAATCAAATTGCCTTTGTTGAAGTGTCGGATTTCCGGCGTAGAGCGTTAAAGTGTTACAATCTTCGATTTTTTTTTTGCTTGGCTTTGCACTTAACTGTGATTTATTAAATATCGAGTTTAGTAACTAATTGATTGCTAGATAAAATACAATATACCTATTCGATAGATCGATAAAAAGGTCAAAAGTTTGGTAAAAATACCCTATGTGCTACTATGTCATATAGAGGTTAACGACAATACAAACTAATGTGGATTTAGATTCCGCTAGGAAATACCTACTCATTAAATCATCCTTAATTTATGATGAAAATCATTCACTCTAACGGAATAAATAGACAGCAGATAAGTACCTATACTATTTTTCTGTACCTAATTTGTTGCATATGGTCATCGAATAGGTAAGTATGTCAATAGTGCTATTAAGAAAAAAAAAAAGACCAATTTGGTTAATGAGCGAAAAATGACAACAGAACAATTTAATAAACATTATCTCATCAGTTCTGAGAAAATAATAAGGATTGTTGTTTTGTTGAAATAGCACACCTTAATTTTTGATGTTTAAATTTGGAATATTATGATATAATACAAACTTCACTTTACTGGGTTTCAATCTTAGGTTTCAATTTAATAAACCTGATGACTATTTGCCAGTGTTCGAATTAAGGAAACTTTTGGAAGAGAATCATGGCCGGATTAAGCTTTCATGGGGCCCGGGGCTAGTGAAGTTTTAGGGGGCCCTTCATAAATTAAGTGCAAAAAAATATACAGGGTGTCCCACGACGTTTTTTCCAGGTAATAACTTCGGAACGCATCATCCAATATAATTGAAATTTTGAAGATGTGGGTAACTTTTTATGCCGCTTCTACCATCGTCATCCAATTTCACCACTTTCGCTTCAATTTCGGTCAAGTGACGTTAACTTTCGAATCTTAAATGTAACTTATGGTATATTATGGCATTTTACGTTAGAAAATTAAATTACAAATCGTCAATGCTATGTTTGTTAAGGCTTTGTTAAAGAAAGTGATAAGAAATTATACAGTGGAACATACAATAATGATGCGTTCCGAAATTATCATTTGGGAAAAACCGCGTGGGACACCCTGCGTAAAGTACTCATTTTGCGCACTATTCAGAAGACGTAAAATTTCTCTTCACGCACTAGTGCGTAAAATAGTTCACATTACACACTAGTGCGTAAAGTTATGTCAATGACAGATGTCGACCTGTCAAATTACTATTTTTCTGGTAAATTACTTCACGCACGCGTAAAGAATTTGTCCAAATTTATTTTTTCACACATATTTGATTGGTAGTAGAAAAAAATTGTGTGCAATACGTGCTGATGTGATTGTCGCACTCGCCTTTGGCTTGTGCGTCAAAATTCACATTCGTGAAGAAGGGTTCACTTTACACATACTTGTTGCATAAATAACTATATTTCGTAGGTAACTTAAATTTACTCAACAAATTCTTGTATGACATCTGATATCAGTAAATTCTAATTCCTTCAGAATGTCTCTGTAGTCTTTCTATGCACATCGATGTTAATGAAGACGCGTTCCTTCTGCATTGTTGTTCTATATTTATTTTTAATTTAATAAATTTTGCGAAACATGACGCGAGAGACTAGTGCATCTAATATTTATTGTTTGTCCACTGGCCCTTGACCAGCAGAAGCCTCAATTTCGAAAGTAGGGCCCCTCTACTGGACTACGGGGCCCGGGGCTGCAGCCCCGTTAGTCCCCCCTTAATCCTGGCATGAAGAGAATGCTGGAAATATAATATCAGCGGAGACGTTGAAAATTGATGGAATCCTTTCAATTTGCAAAACGTTGAGATTATTGTTATTCGAAAAAGGACAACAGTAACATCGCTTAATAAGCCCATCCCCATACCCCAAGAAAGGCGAATGAACTGAAAATTATAAAAAAATTATTTTTACAGGAAATCTCCCAAGCAGCACTTCTACGTCCTAACAACGTCGTCATTGATGTCTTGACGTTGAAGCGCGACGTCAAATAGACTACTATACAACTCTTATTTTCACCAGAATGGAGAATCATTTCATGGTTGTAACGACGTCGTAGGTCGTGAAGCCTTGCCTTACTAATTTTTAACTTTTATACGTCACCATACAAAACCCGATTTAAACGTTTACTAAATGTCGTAATCCATGACTAACCTAAAAACAAATATCAAACCAAAGAAAGGTCATTTCAGGTTTAATATATTGCACCAAATTCGCACTTTTGGTTTATTAGTGGTGTTATTTTATAAAAACATCTTTGGGCAAGTCCGATTTACACAAAAATAAATAATTTTGACAAAATTTCCTTATTACAAGGATTGATTCTTCAGATATTTTATTTTTAACAAACGTGCAGCAATGATGGATGATTAGATAGGACCTTGCGATACATAAAATGGTCGAGTTAATAATATGCACCTTATCCTAACCTAATGCGTGTTTTCGTCATGAAAATGGACCTAATCTAAATATACAATAAACATAGGGCCATAGGTAATAAAATAGTACAAACATATAAACCTAGATTAACTATAGGTTCCATATGGTAACCCATCGTAACCAGTTCTAGGTGCTTCAACGCTCTCATTTATTTGAAATTTTTCAGGAAACTGTAAATGTTTTATTTTTGATGTTCAAAATATTGAAATATTTCCTTTTAACCCGACATTTATTAAATCTCTTTATATATTCCTGATTGGAAATTACAGGGTTCTCTTCCAATCTCCCTTTTTGCTCCAATTTCATGTTTGGAATACATTTCTCCCTTTTCACTAAATCTAAAAATCTATTTTTTTCTGTAATATGTGGATGAGTATGTGAAGCTCCTGTCTTGTCCTTTATCAAAAATACAAGAGCAAATATTTATTTAGGTAAATTGTTTAACACTTTTTATAGTAATGTCATATCTATTGTTTGTTTATGTTTTTATTTGACTGATGACAGTTTATTATCGAACGACGCAAAAAGTATGAAATACCACATCAAATTTTACCTGTGTCCAATTTTAACGTTTGACGGACGTTTTTCTAAGACCTCTATCAGACGACGTTTTTAAAATATTTCAGAGGTCGAAGGATATAAATATAACGACGGATTGGCGTCTTCAATCCAACGTTAAAACTGGTTTTCATTTATTACGTCATAATTGAGCTGGATAAAGGTCCGATTTTTTGACCACATATTAAGGACGACGGCACGACGTAATTTCAACGAAAAATCATTCGCAGGGACATGTATGTGCTACTTGGGCTATGATACAAGAGAAGTTATGATTTTTCCGAGTGAAAAAGCGCTGGCCAAATTTGTACAAAAAATGAAAATGATTGCATTTGTAGTTTCCAAAAGTTATACCAGGCATTTTGCCTGAAAAAATTAACTATATCCTTATGAAAATTTCAAAGCGTACCTACCTATCGTGCGTGCGTTATTTACTATTTCTGACCAATATTATTGAGGGTTCAATGCCACCCAGGTGAATAAACTAAAACCACGTAATAACCAAATAAAATAAACAATTGATAAAGATAGTTGCGTGACTGTACAGGGAAACGCAAACACGTGGGTTACACACTCATCGCTAAATATCGATCAAATTGTCCTAATTTTTTTGTTCATTTTCCAAACTTAAAAGTTAGAAACTCACCAATTAATAACGAATATGTTCCACTAAAAAACTTACAAAACAACCAAAAAGCGACTTGGTTATTTTTGTATAATACCGAAAAAGTTACTTTCCAACTAACTCCAACTCGACAAAACTATATCGGCCCCTCTTTGGAAAAGCGGAAGTTGGTTTTGTGATTTTCGGGGTTACCATGGTGACCATGTAAACAACAAACAGTGACGTCACTTGAAAACACCGGTTGACCACTAAGACCCTATTTGCTGATTTGCCAGCTAATTTTTTATCATCTAGTCTTGGCGGGTATTTTTTTTTAAATACCTTCAAAAAACCTTCAACATTTTCAGAAAAAAACATGAAATTCTTAAAAATCTCTTCTATTTGCATAAAATGGCCCATCATCGACAACACCGCCATATACCCATACCATTTACCATTCCTCAAGACCGCATTTCACAAACCAACAGCTGGTAAGCCAATGGTACGATGGTTAGTTTCGATGAATGGGCTCACCGCTCTAGGTAAACCAACCGCGGGTATTCCGTCGATTCAAACAAAGGTGTACCACTACACCGTAACGTGACTAGCAAAAGTGAAGATTTCTAGAAAATTATGAGAATGTTTTCGTTTGGTTCTTGTGGAAGTTTGATGGTATTCTTTTGATAGTTGGCTACGAATAAGAAAGGTAAATTTGTTTTGTGTATAGTTTCTTTTATGTAATGTTTTAATAAGTAGAATTACCCAAGATCCTAATGAATTTGTTTTTGTAAACAATGTATTTCTAAATAACTAATGTCATCGTTGTATTGAACTTCTGAAAAATAGGTATAGATTGTAAATATTTAGGTAGGTATTATTATTTCTACTGCTTGTTAATTATTATTTATAGAAAATTGACTCAATAATGAACTTTGGATTATACAATAATTATACCTCAGATTTTAATTTTTGTTCTTGCCTAATTCGCAAAAAGTTGATTACCATCAATAGTAAGAATATGTACCTACTTCAAGCAATCAGAGCAGGGTTGGACGAACTTTTGGAAGTGGGCCGGGTAATTTCAGTCTAGCAGCCCATACTATACGTTGATGGATTTATGGGACACATCCCCACACTTAGATGTGATCCAATATTAAATTAACAACAGTGATGAAACAATAAATGCTGAATGGAAACGCAGAATAAAAAATTGAAAAATAACTCTCATACTGATTATATATTTGGTTTATTTATTTCAAACAATCACAATAATATTTTCTTTAGTTGAAGGCTTAGGTTAAACATTTCCAAGGGAATCTATTCAACAAATCTTCGGATGTCTTTATTTAAGTTCATTATCACCCAACGCATCCAAATTTTCCATTGTCGATTTCCTGATAGAGTTTTTATGTCTTCAAGTGTTAAAAAGCATTTTTCTCACCGTACCTCCCACATAACAAAATTGCATCCTTAGAATGTATTAAGAATGTTCTTTTTTTTAGGAGGAATGTGCCTAGAATGTTCGCCAAAACCATTGCGAATGTCCTGAGAAAAGATTGTAGAAATACTGTTTGCAATACCCAAGAACTTCCTAGGAAATCCATTAGGATATTCCTAGAATATACCTATGAGATTCTCAGTACATCCTGAAAAGAACATTCCTGTTTGATTCTAAAAATATACTCGAAATGTATATTCTCACATTCAAAGAATGTTTCTATGACATTATAGTTATGTTCTCAAAAGAATATTATACCAATATGCTTGAAATATTCTTAGAATATCTACATATATCATTCTCAATATGCATCCTAGACATAACATTCTTGTTTGATTCTAAGGATATACTAGGAATGTTAATTTTCGCTTCCAAATAATGCTCCTTTCAGCCTTTTTATATTAAAGGCAGTGAATGAGTTGTTGGAAAACTTCTCTGGAAAACACAAGTATTTAACCAAAGCTCCGGTTTCGAGCTTGTTATGTTCTCGTCGAAGCACGCCAACGGAGAGAAACAGGTTCCAAGGTGATTCAAACGCGAGGCAAGATGTAGATCTTTAATAGCATGTGGCTCCCTCTCTTGGAAGTCCTACAAAGCAAAAGAAAAAGAATATACCTATAATATTCTTAGTAGGTTCAAGATAGAGCATTATTGTTTAATTGTTCAATTAAGATTTTTGAGTAGGTACTTTAGTTAATTAGGTGAACAATATGAAAATATTCTCATCATGGTTACCTACCTACATAAACTTCTCAGCACAACTTGGTAGGTATATTCTTAATACTTGATACAGATATTAGCCGAAAGAACATTTTTTAGGGTACATTATAATAATGTTCGTATGAGAATATTCGAATAATGTTATATAAAGTAGGTTCCTACCACAATCTTTCAGGTAGGTGCATAGAAGCAACATTCCTAGTACATAAATAGAACGTTCAAAAATGAATATTTCAATCGAAACAATCTTAGAATATTCATTGAACATTCCTAAAAGAACATTCCAAAAAGCACTTTGAGGGAATATTCTGAGAATATGAATGTTCTTTCACTGTTATGTGGGCTGTGAACACGCTAAAATAAGGACATAGGTACCTACTTACTGGTACAGGCTTCAAAGATGACTGCAGGCACATAATCTGTATTAATACAGAACATTTCTTGCAACGTGAATATGATGAACACTTTTTTGAGTCATTTATCTCATCTCCATAACCATATCCGTATTATGATGAAGATCCTGTTTCGGCCCACACTCGGATCGGTCCACTGAGAATTTTCCGGTATTCTGGTAGGTTCATCCAACCCTGATACCCTGAATCAGAGGGACTTCAAACTTTCAAGTTCTATTGAGTAGGGTATTTTCATCGAACAAAACAAAATGCAAGTAGATCTCAGGCTCAGAAATGGAATTACGATTTTTTTCTCACTCAGATGCAAAAAAATCGATAACCAATAGTTATTTTTATTAATTAATTAAAACCTTGATAACAAAGTGCAATGTATACAATACAAGGTCAAGATTATTAGAAAAAATATTATACATTTTTGTAAAAAGAAAAATCAGGCTTTCTGACAAAATGTACAGGGTGTTTCGTTAAAGATAAGGCAGTATTTTTACTTAAAAAAATCGCATATCTGTAAAACCAAATTTAATTAAATTTTAGGATTCGGTAATACTGTGAAAAAAAACTTTAAAAAATCCTTATTCTCCCAGAACAAAACGCATCTCGTTTTAGAGATATTCATCTGCTAAAATCTGTCAGTTTATCTGAGGACACCCTGTATTCTGCTGTCAAACCTTTTTTTATAATAGAATTTGCTATAAATATTGCCACCAAGCGCGATAATCCCAAAAGGCTTATCACTTATTAAGCCTTTCGTGTCATATGGGAATAATGTACAGCGTATTAAAGTTTAGTTCGTTGTATAACCTTTTGAATACCACTCGCTGTTTCAGGATTACCTAATACTTTCACCTGACACTCAACGCGTTATCAGCAACACCACTCCTCCTTCGGAGTCGTGGTGTTGCTGCGTAACGCGTTTCGGGACAGGTAAAATTATTATCCGGTAATCCTGAAACCTCTTGTGGTATTTCATTCGATTATACAATTCACTGTACATTATTCCCATATGACATGGGAGGCTTAAAAAGTGATAAGCCTTTTGGAATTATCGCGCTTGGCGTATTGAAGTTTAGTTCGTTGTATAACCTTTTGAATACCACTCGATGTTTCAGGATTACCTTATACTTTTATTTTGAACCATATATGTGATTTTCATACATTCCTTACTGGTTTGAGGGTTCGAAAATGTCACTTTACTTTTGTTTACTTTAAAGAAGGCCGAAAGTGACTGTTCTCCTGTCACTTTCGGCCTGGAGAACTCACTTTCGGCCCTGATAATGGATAAATTGTTCTTTCACATTTAAACACAAATCCAGGTGCAATGTTTGTATTAAGATGCAGATGTCACATGTGTGTATATTGTTGAAATTTCATAAGATGTCAATGTCGGTGTCAGATTTTCAGTCGAAATGCCATTTTTGTCATATTTTTACTTTATTTTTTTCAATAATTAATGGTTCAAAATAAAATAGTATACATAATTCGGTGGAAAGTTTTCACATTATTGTCTCGAGAATTGGTTAACCTCGGCGCTTCGCACCTCGGTCAACCATTAGTATCTCTCGACAATAATGAAACAACTCCGCATGTAATATACTATTATACCTGACACTCAACGCGTTACCAGCAACACCACTCCTCCTTCGGAGTCGTGGTGTTGCTGCGTAAAGCCTACTTTTCATGCATCCGTTTTTCCGACAATCCGTTGATCCGGAAGTATTTCTATTGGTCCAAAATTTTCGCGCCACAATATTGGACCAATATGAATACTCCCGGATCAACGGACTGACGGAAAAACGGATGCATGAAAAGTAAGCTTAACGCGTTTGGTGACAGGTAAAGAGGTAAAATTATTATCCGGTAATCCTGAAACCTCTTGTGGTATTACATTCGATAACACAATCGATAAGGTAAATGTCAGGCTCTATTGAAAAATAAGTAGCATTGCATATTTTCACCGAGGGGTAATACCGCAAGGGAAATCTGGTGTAAAAATTAAGGGAAATCAGGGGAAATCAAGAGGTAATCAGAAGAAATCAAATGTAATCAGTGGAAATTAGGGGATATCTAAAGGAAATCGGGGGAAATCTCCAGGAAATTAGGAGAAATCTTAAGGAAATGAAAGGAAATCTTAAGGCAATCACTCAATCTCTAGATCTAACGCATGCGCAGTTTTCAAAAACATTTAGAAATTGTGGTTATTGCGCGTTTTGCTATGTTCATTATCAAAATAAAATTATATAGGTGCTCGGTTACGTGTGTTGTGTGAGAAAGATGGTTTTCAGCATATCTCTGATGATGATGTCGAAAAAATGATTACTGAAGCCATGTCAGGCGCAATTAATGAGGATTGGGAATTCAGTTATTGAAAATGCTGTCAACATCTTGTCAATTCCTTTAAGAAATATAGGAGAAAATGTGATAGTTCTCCATGAAAATGACTCAGAAACTGAAGACAATGACAATATAATATGCTAGAGAATACTGAAATGGAATGCTAGAGAATACTGAAACCCCAAGGAAAGAGTGAATAAGAGATGAAATATGAAAAAGAAAAAAAGGCAGCCATTGAGGAAATATGAGCAGATATAGGTAATATTTTTAATTTCGGGTCCTTTTGAGAACAACTTGTATCAAAGGATTTTTCCAAGAATTTGTTGAAACAGCAGAAACATTTTTCATCGAAAGACGGTTAATTTTTACCGGTTACCTTAAACGATAGACAGTATGTTATTAAAAAATCTTCATTGTGTTGGATGCTTGACGGAAAGGTTGACAGAATAAGCACTGACCCGGTTGAGAAGCAGTGACGTAGCAAGTCAGAACCGGGCCCTGGTGCAAGACTACCGCGGGCCCCCTTCACCATATGGACATCGGAAGGTTCAAACGAGGTTCAAACGTTCAAACGCATTGAGGGGGGGGGGGTGTTATATGCAAAATGGCGTATGGCAAATTCGGAGGCGAAAATTTTTCGGATCGGCAACCGCTCTGAAAGTACAGGGTGATCTAATATAAACCCCTCCTAACTTTTTCATTTGACGTTTTTGACAGAAGTGTCAAATACAAAGTTTTAAGAAATTGTCAAAAGTTTTCAACTAGGTCAGTCTCAAGGATACAGGAGGCGTCAAAAAAGTGTAGCAGAGCGAACTAATATTTTCTTAAATGGAAGACCATGTATGTGCGCCTATTTATTAGTCCTCTTGCTTAAAACTGACTTAGTTGAAAACTTTTCACAATTTCTCAAAACTTTTGACACTTCTGTCAGTTAGGACGGGGTGACCTTTATAATAGATCACCCTGTACATACTTTCCGGACGCGTTTTACTCAAGATTAGGAAAGTATGTCTTCCTCAGCTTACGCCGGGAAGTGATTAGTTAAGCCAGGAAATGATTACTTTCCGACCTAGCCTGGGAAGTATCTATTTTCCGGCCGAAAAAATAGTCTACGTAATACGCCCGAAAAGTGTTTTTTCGGACACGCAGACTTGTCTAGTCGTCCAAAAAAACAGTACTTTCCGGACTCCTCACGTAACATACTACCTATTTTCAGGACGAATATTTGCTGTTATAGCAAATGAGGCCTGAAAAACTTGCTAGGTACGTGATACAAACAATTTTTTTTTTTGAAATAATAATTCTCCAAAAATTGATCGGATTCCGTTGCAAAAATGTGAAGTGGATTTACTGTTATATGATTTCATCGACAAAACTCCACAGGGTCCTTATTCTTGAAATAGGGGAGCAGCATTCTCGATGATATGCAAATGATAATATAAGTAACAAAGACGGAACACTCGTTCTCCTGGGAACGCTGCTCCCCTGTTTCAAGAATAAGGACCCAGGGGATTCACTCATGTGACTCATGGACTTTCACGATTGAGATTGACAATTGACAGTTGACAGTTGTCACAAGTACTGGGACTCGGAGGGCTGACTGAAAAGAAATCGGTAGAGATCGATATTACAGTTTTCTATTTCAGTTAAAAATCGCCAAATCGAAGAATGATTAGTTGGGCGGACGTAATATGATTTTATTTTATTTTCTTGTATGTTGTATCCAAAAACGGCAAGACCAGCCGGGCCCCTTTGCGCGGCACCACTTTCACGCCCTGTTGCTACGGCCATGTTGAGAAGATTTATCAGTAACACAAAGGCTACAACTCCATCTTCAAATCAGAACGACAAAGAGGCCTTCTTCCTAACAAACCGAGTAACAAACGCAAGACCCAACTAACAGCAAACGTTTAAATCACGGGTCAAATTTAAATCCAAAACCCGAGCCAAAACCCAAGCAATATCTAAAAAGCATAACATTGCCGACACAGAGGATTTCGAGTATTTAATTGAAGAAACTTCAACTGACACACCGTCATCAAGCGACTCGAGTAACAATAATTCTGGTCAACTTTGTGATGATGACAGCGTGGACGACATTGATGGTCCGAGATTTACCTTCAATAATGAAAGCAGTGAAGTGTGCATCATACAGGGTGTCCCACGGTGGATGGCGTATTAGACGTTTATGAAGAACTAAAAAGCGGATCATTTTGAAAATTTGGCAACCGGGATAAACGACCATGATCTACACTTTAAAAATATTTTTGACCATGCGGTGTTGCCGCTTCTACTCTAAACTAGTGGCAACATCACTATTTTAAATGGAACACCCCGTATTTAATTGCATATTTGGATTCTACGTAAAATTCTGAGCAGATTTCATGTAATATACCCTATACCTAAGTTCAACTGTTTTGGAAATATTGACAGTTGAAAATTGACTTTTTGCAACTTTGACAGGCTGTAAAACCTAATTGGTTAATTTTAGAGGAAAACCGATTTCACATTCCTATCTTAGATTTTGATAAACTATCATTTAACACCAACTTAGAACTTAACCAGAGATTAAATTCAACTGAAATTTTTAATCATGGATTTAATTCTAAGTTGGTGTCAAATGATAGTTTATAAAAATCTAAGATAGGAATGTAAAATCGGTTTTCCTCTAAAATTAACCGTTCAGGTTCTACAGCCTGTCAAAGTTGCAAAAAGTCCATTTTCAACTGTCAATATTTCCAAAACAGTTGAACTTAGGTATAGGGTATATCACATGAAATCTGCTTAGAATTTTACGTAGAATTCAAATATGCAATTTAATACGGGGTGTTCCATTTAAAATAGTGATGTTGCCACTAGTTTAGAGTAGAAGCGGTAACACCGCCTGGTCAAAAATATTTTTAAAGTGTAGATCATGGTTGTTTATCCCGGTTGCCAAATTTTCAAAATGATTCGCTGTTTAGTTCTCCATAAACGTCTAATACGCCATCCACCGTGGGACACCCTGTATGTCAAGACGTTGGTAAATCAGAAACTTGGTACCGAGGTACTCATTGCGGGAAGTGGGCACATAGTCAGTGCACGGATAATATTTAAACAGAAATTAAAGTGGCCGAAGGGTAATCTTTAGAGGAATTCTATAGAAATCAGAGGAAACTTGGGCAATCTTACGGGTAATCAGAGGAAATCAGGGGAACTCTTGGGCAATCTTACGGGTAATCAGCAGAAATCAGGGGAAATCATGGGAAATCATTCATGACTAAAACTACAATCTGGTGTACAAAAACTGACCTGCGGTCTACCCATCGATTTGTACTATTACAAACTTTGCTATTACTACTGCAACAATATTCTCACAGCAAAAATATAATAATAAAGGCTGTATTGATATATCCCTCCAAAATGTTCTAACAACAATCACAATAATTCCACAGTGATAATACTTTATAAAGCAAAGGTATTACAGCTCCTACAAATATTCCACTAAAAAATTACTTGGGGCAAGTAAAACTAAAGAACCTTGACCCATTATAATACAGTATTAACAGAAAAGTCGTGGGTATAAGAAATCAATTAAACTGCATCAGGCAAAAGAGAAACTAAAAATCAAAAACAATAACTACAAATTCTCCACAAGATAATAATTAATGGCTGTACCCTCGGCACTAAAGAAGAAAACAATAAATTCAAGGTGCCTATATCATTCGAGTGAAACTTTCTCAAGATTACCACTTGATTACTAGGTAATGTGTACGGACATAACTTTTACTTTTGCAAGTAGGTAACTTTTTTTACAATAGTATATTTATGTTAAGTGCATTTGAAAACAATCATAGGTCAGTGTAAAACCTAATGGAAAGTACCTTATACCTACACGACACGAAGCTTCTTTCATAGCTTTCATTTGATGACAAAACCGACGACTAAGATTATCAAATTTTACGTCAAAAGCACCAAAAACCAAATCAGATTTTAAAAGAAACAATTATTTCATCAATTATTAATTGAAATTAGCAATCAATCAAAATAGAGACTAAAATTTCTAGAAAGTCCCGCTTCGAAACAATAAAAATAATCACAAGTTTAATTGCTACTGAAGATATGTAGATAGGTAATATAATTTCTGGGTTACGGCGAAGAATAGAAAAATTGGAGCGTGGACTTCACATAAATAAAACAAGAATTATAATAATTATTATACTTGTGCGTAGATTAAGCGCCATGTGTTGGAAATGAAACATCAACCTAGATAAATAAAGGAAACAAGGATGCAGAAGTGATGATAACATAGTTTTACTTCAATAGCTTTTATAAACATCTTTAGTTTGTTTTTATTTCATACTTCTACTAGCAGTTTCCAATGAGGATGCTCTTCCGTCTGTATATCTAATGAAGAGTTAAGAAATAATGTAGTGATTGAAAAAAATGTATCTACTCTTTCAATAGATAGTAGGTTTACACATTTACTACAACTCCTAAGCAAAATCGTGATAGGTAAGACAAAATTTTTGTGAAAAAAAAAGTGGAACTTCTTTCAGATATCACATACCTAGGCTTGAGTCTATATACATTACTTCAATACAATTTTCGAATTGCGGATATTGCTGCTATACTAATGGTCGTACCCAGGAATTGTAGTGTACATACATATCCTGTTATGTAAGAATTCGCAACCATCATTACGGAAAAACATCCTCAAGCACGTGTGCTCTATAAATATCTAATAATTATGTCTATCGCTTAATGTAATGGTATAATTCAATGAAATATTTATAGCCTTCTGTAATTACTTTCAATAACAGTAACATAAATTAAAGAAAGCACTCGCTTGAGGAAACTAAGTCAGGTTTATGTAAAATGTGAAAATATTCATTAGATTTGTCTTAATAACGTGAAATTAGGAATGTTATTACATGGTCTTTGAATCCGTTTCCTTTTCTAGGCTTCAAGATGAGCAAACTAATCAAAATGGATCCAGGCATTGTGTGTTTCCAGCATTGTGGACCCAAAGTATTTTGTTTTTCCTTACCAGTAACTTGCCCAGTATGTGATGAAGAATTGGAAAGAGCTAACTTTTCTTTGCTTCCTTTTAGGTAAGATTTTGCGGATAAATAATTAAACTTATTATTAAAATATTTTTTTTTTCTTCAGAGTTCCTTACCCATTTATACGAGCATCCCAGTATCCTTGTGCTGTTGTTATTAAACCTACAACTGGGGATTTTTTAAAGTGAGTACCATTTTTTTATACATAAAAGAAGTGGTACAAAAAAAAAAACGGAATCTTTTATTGACCAAGCAAATAATACAATTACCACTAGTGGAGGTCAACGTAACATTAATAATAGTTTAAAGCTGACCATGAAATTTGTAGAAGGCAAATGTGTTTTTTTTACAGGTATATAACATCATGTGCATAATATGATGTCATATTTTATATTATTTTTTCAGTGATTATTACAACTCAATGGACCTCCACATTGGAGTAACAACTTCAACTGGCACAATAGTGGAATTCGACAAACATGGTTTGAGAAAACATAGATCAACTCACTGGAACCAGTGTCTTCTGTTGGACCAAGTAAGATTATTTTTGCATAATTAGTATTTCCGTTAATAATCAGTTTCTTAGGTGACTTCTCCTTGGCGTGAACACTGGGATACCACCCTCTGGCAAGTATGCAAGCAAAAATGCTGGTCAGCAAAAACCTACAGCGAAGACAATCACAATTGCTACAGCTTCGTTTTGACTTTTCTGGTGACCTTAGCTTATGGTAATTTAAGTGAAGCTGCCAGAAACAGGACGTTGTTTTGTGAAAAGTTTATTGTACCAAGGACAACTGCAGCTGGAAAATATATTTCTTTGTTTAGGAAGTTGAAAGAGTATGGGTTTTATATACATAGGAATAAGTGATATTTGTATATAATTTGAATGTTGCTGAAAATGTTTAATTAAAAATTATTTATTTATTGTGGAGTGCGTAGATTTTTTCGGTTTTTTAGGTAATCCAAAAAAAATTGAATAGAAATACACTCGCGCTTAGGTGTAGGTGGTTAAGGCCTCCCTCAAGTTACTAATACTTAACATAACTATTTTTAGATTAATACATGTAGATTTTGAACATTAGACCAAAGTTATTTAGTGCATAGCTTTTATTTTGTGTTATTTGTTGTTCTTTTATCAATAAAATATTTTATAAGTTGTATTACAGTATTTTATTTTTCAATGAGAGTTTCACTACTTTCTCAACAAGGAATAAATAACACATCACAGTTCACTTATTGTTTGTGCAACTGGATATGCTGATGTAGCTCTAATAACTTTTGTGTTTTATTTGCATGTCAAAACCGTCGACTTCAATGTATTTTGATATAATTTTTAGCAAATACTGTATTGATATCAATCAAAAGAAAGTGTAGGTAGGAAATAATTGTGATGGATAATAATTACTAGTTATCTGACTGATTGAGAACCTGATGCCTGCTACATGAACCAAACCAGAAAAATTTAAATATTGAGATGTAAGAAGGAAGCAGATTTACTTTGATTATAGTAAACATAAGTATATAGGTAACATAAGCTCTGAATTCTCCAGATTTCTAGGGCGTTGTGGAATTGCTTGGGTTTCCATAATTTTTCAGCAAAATGTCTTCTCTTCCTGAGACATTCCACTATTGGTGATGGTAACGCTGCAAAAAATACTTTAGTGTATGAAGTTTGGGGGGTCTCAAATGATCATTTAAACACAAAATCTCAACAAACAAAAATTTAAAATTTCATCGTTTTAGTACTGAGGTATAGCTACATTATATCATTTAGATTTTGGAAAACTTTGAAAGGTCATACCTTTTTTTCTATTATAGATAGAAAGCTGAAATTTTCAGCGATTCCTATTCCAGTAGAGGACTATAGGTATACAATTCCTGAAAAGTTCAGCCCATTTGGACTTATAGTTCAAGAAATAAAATCGTGTTAAGCAATTTGGGGTGATTTATCAATTTTTCAATTTTTCTGAGTGCCTTTTTTCATAAAATCCGGCTCCAAATCTCAGAATAATTTAGTATATGAAGTTTGGGGGATCCCAAAGGACCATTAGGACACAAAATCTCAACAACAAAAAAAATTGAAATTTCATCGTTTTAGTAAGAAGGTAGGTAGTTACCTACCTTATGATTTAGATTTTGGAAAACTTTGGGAGGTCATACAGTTTTTTCTATCATAGATAGAAAACTGAAATTTTCAGCGATTCCTATCCCAGTAGAGGACTACAAACCCTGAAAATTTCAGCTCATTTGGACTTACAGTTCCAGAAATAAAATCGTGTTAAGCAATTTGGGCTGATTTATCAATTTTTCAGTTTTTCTGAATGCCTTTTTTTCATAAAATCCCGCTCCAAATCTCAGAATTTATAGTGTATCAAGTTTGGGGGATCCCAAAGGACCATTAGGAAACAAAATCTCAACAATAAAAATTGAAATTTCATCGTTTTAGTAAGAAGGTAGCTATACCTTATGATTTAGATTTTGAAAAACTTTGAAAGGTCATAACTTGTCTTCTATCAGAGATAGAAAGCTGAAATTTTCAGCGATTCTTTTCCCAATAGAGGACTAAAATACCTCAAAGTTTCAGTCCATTTGGACTTATAGTTCCAGAAATAAAATCGTGTTAAGCAATTTGGAGTGATTTATCAATTTTTCCATTTTTCTGAGTGGCTTTTTTCATAGAATCTGGCTCCAAATCTCAGAATAATTCAGTGTATGGAGTTTGGGGGATCCCAAAGGACCATTAGAACAGAAAATCTCGATAAAAAAAAAATTGAAATTTCATCGTTTTAGTAAGAAGGTAGCTATACCTTATGATTTAGATTTTGGAAAACTTTGAAAGGTCATAAGTTTCCTTCTATTAGAAATAGAAAGCTGAAATTTTCAGCGATTCCTATGCCAGTAAGGGACAACAATTCCTGAAAATTTTAGCCCATTTGGACTTATAGTTCAAGAAATAAAATCGTGTTAAGCAATTTGGGGTAATTTATCCATTTTTCAATTTTTCTGACTGCCTTTTTTCATAGAATCGCTCCAAATCTCAGAATAATTTAGTGTATGGAGTTGGGGGGATCCCAAAGGACCATTAGGACATAAAAACTTAATATAAAAAAATTTGAAATTTCATCGTTTCAATAAGGTAGAGGTATGTATTTTGTAGTATATACATATACCTACAACCAGGGATGGGCATCTACGCGTAAATAAAGATTGTCTACGTCTGGTGTAAACAACGCGTAGACAATGTAAACAATGTAATCTATGTAGACAACGTGTAAAATATGTAGACAACGCGTAAAGTATACAATTTTTGACAGTTGGCAGGCCTTTAAGGTTATGTTTCTGTTTTTGCTTTGTTTTGTTTTTTGCTTTGTAAAGTTAATTAAACTGCAGATAAGGTCTAATTTGATAGAATATAAATTTAATGCAATGCAAACTTTCAAAAAAAACTACTCAAATTTCAAATTTTCTGTTGCCTACATTGTCTACATAGTTTACATAGTCTACATGGAAAAAAGTGGATGTAAACAATACGTAGACAACGAGTAGACAAACCGCGTAAAGTAGATTTCATAGTCTACGGCACATCCCTGCCTACAACTGCATTCAGATAGCTGTCATGAAATTCTTCCATTATCTACATGGATATGTAATTGAAATAACGTTTGATCTATAACACTTATTTCAATATTGACAAGATTCTGAGTAATTTTTTTCCGAGTAGTTAATCTGTTCTCCTTGACCATTCCAGCAGCTGAGTAGCCCCATAATGTTTTCAAATTCTTCTGACATTTGAGTCCTACGGAGTCGTTCTATAGAAAATGTTTCCTTTTTTTCTAGAGCAATGTGGGGTAGATCTGGACGTTATTTTTTTGCTCGAAGGAACGTACATGAACAGAAAGTTACGTACTCTTTCTTAGGTAAGGAAGTGCATTCGAAAACTATCAATTTCAAACTGATTTTATTTACTATAATAATTGTAAAAAAATTATATAACTATCATAGTAAATATTTTCAATGATAATAATTCAACAATAATATAATCTTTAAACAATTATTATAATACGCTTGCTCGTCTATATTTTCCGGGGTTCACGCAAGGTCGATAGTTTATTATTGCGACCCCATGATGCTTGACCGTGAAACTTATCTAATAGCAATCAACATGGAAGGTTTATTTTGAATATATAAACTATTTTGAGATTTAATAGTTTTTTAAGGAAAACTATGTTGGATAAACAAGCTACGATGTTATAGTTTACTTTTAATTCCAGCATCCTTTATACCCGTGCTCATCTCACTCTTGCTGTTTTATACCTATCTATTTATTTTGCTGAGCATCAGGTGGGAAATGGGATAAATGTGAATGTAATTCGCATGGAAGACAAATATCATTTTGAAATGAACATTTTTAATTAACTGGCCGTTCTTAAATAAAATTTAGACTAAGTATTTTCATAACCCTATATACCATTCACTTATCTTCTTATCACAGCTACTTAACCTCAATGAATAATTCAGCAATCGTAGGCATGTGTAAATTTATGCAATATTATAGATACCTAAGGACACTTAAGTATTAGACTTGGCGCCTGATTATCATTAACACTAAACAAAAGATTATAGGTTTATTGTTACAGATGGTTAGACTTTTTACAATCAATATGAAGTTGAGCTGTTGGAGTTACACGCGAGTTTCGATAATTTGGTTTCTTTCTTGAAGCTTTTCTCCTGAATGACGCTACTTTTTCTTGTGGCCATTAGAAAATGATTACCACAGGAAATTTTGGACATTTGAATGCTCTGACTTCAGGTTTCATTTACCTAAAGTATCTGTTGAGTTAGTCTGTCAGAGTTAGTGAATAAGGTGGAAGTAAACTCTTTAAATTCAATATGTATATAGACGTATATAGACTTTCACTCACCAGTCGGTAACAAGCGGTTACAACGTTGGTTATTTTGGTGACAGATAAATCAATAACTTCCAGGAAAACCGTATGTCCCGTAAGTTGACACGTTTTCAGAAACTGATATACTTGGGACACCAAACCAAGAAGTTGGTAAAAATATCATATAGGTATACGGAACATGTACTAAATGTGTATAGTACTATTTATAGAGAGCTTGTAATAATAAGAAGTTTTTGTTGTTCACACATGAGATTCAGATTCTAGGTAGGTACACCGACTCCCTCAATTATTCTAACAGGCACCAACCCTAAAACCTCATGGCTCTAGACGCTACGCTTGTAATAAAGGTGACTTTTTTGCCTTAAAAATATTTATATCTTGGTAACGGGTTAGGACATTAATAGGAAGGAATATTATTAGGTATAAGTACAATTGATCTTATCAATATGTATGAATTTTTCTTATAACAGTCCAAACTTGAGTAATACAATCAAGTGTGACATTTCTGTTCACTGAAGGTGACTCTTCACGAAAGTTCAATTTTCAAACTTACTTTTGCCTCTTTCTAAATCTGTCCTGTAGTCACCCTGAGCTACATTAAAAATTATTTTTCAACATATCTACGAATTCTGCCGCTCTCATTTGTAGCAGTAAAACAAGTGGAAACTTTTCTTTGCTAAAATATTAACTCGTCCACGTGATGGTGTGAAGACGACCGCATTTTCCTTCTTTTTGAATAAGTATAATTGGTGAATGACTATCATCTACGATGAATAATGGAGAAAATAGAACAAATAAGGACGAAGAAGAGAGAAGAGTTACCATTAAAAATCTGGAGATACTGGAACTGGATAAATGCAACCACCCAGCGAACATCGCACATAGAACCAGGCTTTCATCGAAACTAACCAAAAGATTACTTCACGAAACAGAGTTTTCAACTAATGTTTTACCCAGAATGAAGATATAAGACTAAGACATTTATATAGAACTATCTCGAAAAGTCTGGGTATCTGGGTAACTGGGTACCCATCCATAGTCAATCGCCAGCGAGTCGCCGTATGCTGGGCGAAATACGGCAACACTCTGGCGATTGACTATGAATACCAGTGGACTCAAAGGGCAATGCTGAATATAAGACTCTCAGAGGAACAGAGAAATACTTGGATAAGAGCAAAACCAGGCTTTTTGGTTGTAGCATCAAAAGTCCCTTCAAAAATGGAGATTGACAGGACTAAAAATGGAACTCAGTCAGAACTAATGAGCAATACAATGAAAAAATAAATAAAAATTTGATACTGTGTGCACAGTTTCACAATTTTCTATTTCAGTAATTTCCTCAATAACTTTTTAAGAGTAAACTAGCGTAGTATTGCTCCATTGTCTCATCATTAAATGTTGTCACTCAAATCCTGAGAATCGATCTTTTGAAAGCCTGCGGCCGCCAAGTCTGTTTCGTAAGCACAGCAGGAATTGCTGATCGCGCACTGTGTTGCCAGGTTTATATTTTTCTTCATAGTTTTTCCTTAGATAGATGAGGGATTCCACTGAACTGAAAGATACATCAACTGTAATATTGTATTATGAACTTTTGGTTGTTGTTGTTGTTGCAAACCTGAATCACTGCTTAAACAATTCTAGATTATCACCACCACATTGTAAGGAATTTTGCCTCCATTTGGCTTGCTATAAAGCAAATGTTTCTCCTGAAGTTCATCCATGATCCATGTAACAAGTCAACTCAATGTATACTTTTCAACCAACTTTGCTTTGATAAACATATACAATATAAAATACATGGATATAATTCGAGTCGATAGGATTCTGTTCTTCTGCTGAACTAGAAAAATTTCAATTTTATCTTTCACTAGATACCTGTTCATTTTAAAAAGTATTACACCTCAAAATAGAAAAACGCAATAAAATAATAAGGAAGTTGAAATAGGCTTTCATCAGAAACCTGTGAGCATCTACTGAATTCGTTTTCCTTTTTTTTTTGTGACTTACGGAAAATTTCTAAGCTGTTATACCCAAAAAAAAATCAAGTAGTATAAATTCACCCCAAACATCCAAACATTAGAACATTCAACTATTTTTTTTCTTGATTCTAGTGATTTTTTTCATACACTGAGCAACGTTGTATCTGGGAAGTTCCTCCGCGAATGACGTATCCTTTCACGCGATATACTATTTTCACGCGGCATGAGCCGCGAATTTGGCTAGCCGATGCTGTTTTTAGTGTTTTTACATAATCTTTCCGAAAATGAACTGAAAAAGTGAGTGTGCGAATGATAATCTCCGAATAAATTTCGAAAGTAAGTTTTAATTTATTTAGTTACACACTCCGTTATTTACTAAAAATAGTTTGATATTTCGAATAAAATTCCGTGAAAATTCGCAGTTTGAATGACATTGAAACGACTTATAGTGTCTTGTAACTATTTACTACAATAGTTTATAATTAGATAATATGTGGGTTACATTAATTTGAATTTGAAGATAATATAGGTACCTAGGTAATAACCAAAGTTTGTAATACAGGTGTACTTTTTGAAATAGAGATTTATAAAGTTGCCTCTCATTTGAATAAAAGTTTCATTTAATTATTTATTTATAATCTACTTTCATGGTTTTAATATCAGTTTATCCAAATTGATGAAATCGATAACTTATATGCTGTGTTTAATCACCCGGATGTGAAGCGTCTCAGAAAGCTCGCCTGTATCGCAATGAACTTGCCTGTGATGAGATTTGATTTAATTAACATTCAACTTCAATCACATCTACTATTTACCTACTGATAGCATATTGATAAAATTGAACTTAATATTGTAATCCAGCTTTCAAGGACCCGAAATGTAGATATAAAATTATTACTTTTTCATTTAAATTTTTTTTATAAATATATAAGTTTAGTATTCCAATTATTGTAAATTGCTTGAAGCTTTTATACTTAAGATTGTAATCTGTTTGAAATATCACATTTCATTATATCTAAATATTAAACTATTGAACCACAATTTTATCCGCTGATCCCACAAATCAAGATCTCAAAAACTGTTATAAATTTCGCCAGAATTGATTTTAAATAATTGATATTTTGGATGCATATGTGAAGCATGCATTGATTTCTCTTTGCATTGGAAAAAATAGACTTGAAAAGAATACAAATCAATCAAATTTCACTTTCCCCAAGAGGAACTTATAAATCTTGCTTCCTCTGATGTCACGATTTTAAGCTTCTATCTGAAAAATGCCCAATAAGTATTACGTATTTTGTCTGCACCATAAAGATTAATAAAAATTATCACGTCTATATGAAGTGGCCCATTAAAGAAAACCACTTTAGATAAATTAAAATAATAATAATCTACAAATTACAAAGAAAATTATTTGGTGAATCCAGAGCCAACAATGTTATCTTACTTTAATGCAAAGCATTACACGCCGTTTTGTGTTAATCAATTTAATCCATTTAATGCAAAACAATTAAAAAGGTTGTTGCAGCAAAATATGAGATTTTTCATAAAACACACAAATGTAAGATTATTTCCAAATACTGGTCATGGTATTTGAATTACAACAGTGCAAGGCCCATTTATTCAACTTAATAATACCTACTTTTTCTTTCAAGGTAAATCGAATCAATGGCTGCGAAATTTGGTAAACTAGCTGTTGGTGGTTTAGCTGGCACAGCTGGAGCAAGTTTAGCTACTTACTGGTTGCTTAACGAATATAACAATGATGTAAGTATTTAATAAACCAAAAAAAAAAAAGATTTAATAAGAAATCACATTAAGGGAAATATCCTCTGGTCTTGGTTTGTATACAAATTTTAGTGAGTTCTGGCGCTTTTTGTTGATTCCTCAGGCTGGATCTGGAGTACATTAGATACTTTAAGTTAGTATAGGTTTAGTTCATTGATTGAGGTTTTAAAGTAAACTTTCAAATAAAATTGTGGGAGCGTTTCATACGACCTTTATTCTCTGACACCTAAGTGGTGTAAGTGACATCACCTCTCAAACTTCTCCTATCTTTGAGATATTATTATACATCTCCTGTACTTTTAATTTTGAAAAAATATTTCAAAATAAATAGGTAGTACATTACCAAAGAAAGATTTACGGAGTTTGACATAACATTAAATCATTAGAACTTTGAATGTCAACTTACAATAACAACAAAGAAGTTTGAATTAAAGTAAACAAATTTTACATGACAAAATCATCAAATGTTTTTGGTTTTCGTTTTTCTCGTCTTTGTCTTCCTTCAGGGTCTACATATCCTTGTATCTCTGTAGTATTTCCGCTTTTCTCTCTCTTCTTAATGTTTAAATCCTTTTCCTTGATTTCAGGTAGTTTTACCAAAAATTTTCTGTTTCTCCTTAGAACATCATATTCGGTCTGGACCATAAATGAATTTGGTTCTCGACATTGCAATGTTTCCATTACATTTCACATCTTCTCTGTGAACTAGGTCATTGTCATCATATTTTTGACTTATGTCTTCAGTCATAATTTTTCTTTGCTTTTTCTTGTTCCTCTCTCTGCTCCTTCCTAACTTTTTCATGGTCAACCAGTTTTGGTTTTAGGTTTTTCTTTGTGGTAGGTAAAATTTCTCTTCTTCCAAACAGTAGTTCTGAAGGAGAGTTTCCACATGAAAGTACAGTTTTTTCACTAACTGTACAGCTCTCTCTGCTGAACCATTACTTTGTGGAAACCTGGGGCTACTCTTCATGTGGTTGAAGTTGTAAGTTTTTGTAAACTTCCTGAAACTGTAACTATCAAATTGTAGTCCACCGTCTGAGTATAATATCTCTGGAATTCCATAACGTCCAAAGATTTCTCTCAATTTTTCAATAATGTCTTCACTTTTAGTTTTCTTTAGTGTAATAACTTCTGGATATTTTAAGTAGGTACACATCCTGTATGATAAGGTAGACTTGATTTCTGTACTGGAATAAATCTGCTGATACATGCTGAAATAGTAAGTATGGCAATTTTCGAAGTGTCATAGGATCTGTTACCCGATTCTGGTTCTTCTAACATTCATGGCAATTTTGTTCTGTTTCTATGATATGATTATTAATATTGGGCCACCATACAGTATGTTTTGCTCTAGATTTGCAACCATTTATGCCTTCATGTCCAATATGAATTTGATTTAAAGTTTCTCTGTACATAGATGAAGGAATTATAAGCCTGTATTTGTAATACAACAAACTGCCATATGTAATTTCATCACGATACTCGAAATAATTTTGACATGTCTCAGTTACTTGTGATGCTTTTTCTGGCCATCCCTGCAGTAGATATTCACTTTTTTTGAAACTCTTCTTGCTGTGTTTTTTCAACCATTTGGTGTGTTAACTTCAAGTTATCTTCAGTTTCTTTCCTTATGATATTCACATAGCATTCACTTCTTCTTCCAATACATATTTTCCATTATCTATCTGTTTTAGTGGCTGTCTTGATAACGTATCTGGTACATAGAATTTTTTTCTAGCGACATGTTCATTCTCAAAAGTAAATATAGTTAATCTAAGCCTGAATCATTGTAATCTTACAGTCAAATCATTTATAGATTTCTTTTTTAGGATACTCAAAAGTGGTCAATGATCAGTTTGTATAGTAAATGATTTACCTATTAGGTACTCTTCCAGTCTTTCACATACCCATACGCGCGCGGGCCGGTGGTGGGTGGGAGGAATCCTGGCCCAAGGCCATCACGAGATGTGCCGAATACTGCGGAGACACAAGCCAAAGCCACACGACCGTTTTAGCTTCTGTCTCTTTTTAATATCCGATGGACCTTCAAATGCATGTTTACACGTAGAGGCGGGGGGGGGGGGGGCACGCCACTGATAGCTACGTACCTTCATTTACCTACCCTGAGATAAATTACCTACCTATCACCTAAATTCTACTTGTCCACTGTTAAAGGTGACAGACGAAATTTTTTTTTTATAATTTCTCAAACTTCTTTCGGATATTTTGTTACCGCACGGTGTTACCCGTCAAACCACGATTGAAAGGTAAATAATAAAATTTGAGGAAGTGAGATAGTGAATGGGTAACTAAAACAAAAAAAATAGAAAGAGAGGGTTGGTTGGTGGCTGAAATCTAGAAACGGGACTTCGTGTGAAGGGTTGCCGACTAGCTTCCAATGCGGAGAGCGGTGTGGATCAATTAAATAATAAATATTTAAGTACCTAGTAGATAAAATACTGTATATAATGCGGCTTAGATTATTACCGCCCTTAGAGATTGCAAACCTCGCCTCACCGGCTCGGTTTTCAAATTTCTCTCGCGTGCGGTAATTACCTAGTTACCACACTTATTATATAATATACTTTTAGACGAGAATTATTCGACTTGTTGTAAGGGTAAATTATATGACTGATTTGGCAGTTAAAAGCGTCAAACTATCCATTGAATTTCATTATTTTTTTTTTTTCAAAATTCTTCTAAAATATCACTAAATTATGGATTCAGACTTTGTCAAATTGCTCAAAGCTAAACTTAGGGCTGGCGCAAGGTATCAACAAGGTAACATAAGCACTCACAGAAAAGTCTTAAAACAACCACAAATTCGATTTATTCATCTATGTACAAATCTACATCTATTTCTTTTAGTGGTTAGGTGTCAAAGCTCAAAAAGCCTCTCCCAGACCGAAACGACCTCTTCCAACCAGAACCGAGCAAATTACCTCGCTACAAACTGAAAAATTCGATGTAGTGATCATAGGCGGTGGCGCTACTGGTGCAGGATGCGCTTTGGACGCCGCCACAAGAGGACTAAAAACAGCATTGATTGAAGCTGACGATTTCGCTAGCGGTACTAGCAGCAGAAGTACCAAACTTATCCATGGAGGAGTACGGTGAGACTATAGTTTCTAAATCACCGATTGTGAAATTGTATAAATCTTTTTAGATATCTTCAAAAAGCTATAATGCAACTTGACTATGACCAATACAAAATGGTCAAAGAAGCGCTACACGAAAGGGCAGCCATGTTGGAACAAGCACCTCATTTGGCGCATCCCTTACCCATTATGTTACCAGTATACAAGTGAGTCTGTGTTCGTACAAATCTTCGAATAATCCATATAATAATAATGAACAAATGTTTATTTTATCTTTGGATTTTTCTGGAATCTGACAAAATGCTTCTTTTGATATTGAAAGCATCCCACTTTTTCTTGTATCGATTATGTGAAATCTAGGAAAAGGGAAAATAAAACTTTCTTCTTTTCTGCAGATGGTGGCAAGTTCCCTACTTCTGGTTCGGTATCAAAATGTACGACCTCGTAGCCGGTAACAAAATGCTCAAAAGCTCTTATTACCTCTCAAAAAAGAATGCTCTAGAACTATTTCCTATGTTAAAAGGCAATGCTTTATGTGGCGGCATAGTTTACTATGATGGCCAACAAGATGATGCTAGAATGAACCTGGCAATTGCACTCACTGCTGCCAGACTGGGAGCAACAGTGGTCAATCATGTTAAGGTTACCAGCATACTTAAAGAAAAAGATGCGGGTGGCAAAAATTTGATTACTGGCGTTACTGTTAGAGACGAAATGACTGGGAAAACGTGGTCAGTGCCAGCAAGATGTGTCATTAACGCCACCGGACCTTTCACTGATAGTATTAGGAAGATGGATAATCCAACCGTAAAAGAAATTTGTTCGCCAAGTAGTGGAGTACACATTACTTTACCAGGTAATTGATAATATAAAGGCAAATTATTTTATGACTTGATTATTTTTTCTAGGCTATTATAGTCCAGAACAAATGGGTCTTCTAGATCCGTCTACCAGCGACGGTAGAGTAATTTTCTTCTTACCCTGGCAAAAACACACAATTGCCGGAACCACTGACTTACCTTGCCAAGTGACCCACAATCCAAAACCAACCGAAGACGAAATTATGTTCATTTTGGAAGAGGTGAAGAACTATCTCAATCCCGACGTTGAAGTGCGACGTGGCGATGTCTTATCAGCTTGGAGCGGTATCAGGCCTCTGGTTTCCGATCCCAATAAGCCCGACACTCAATCACTTGCTAGAAATCACATCGTTCACGTGAGTGACTCTAATTTGGTGACTATTGCTGGTGGAAAATGGACTACTTATAGAGCTATGGCTGAAGAAACAATTGATGCTGCCGTTAAAGGTAAGACGGTTTAAGAGTGATGTAGATAGATTGTTCTTTATACCTATAATATACGAAGAGAAGCTTATCAAAGTGCTACAAAATGACCGAGTCTTCTCCTAACTTTCTATCTGATGTTTCCAATCTTTTGAGCCTTGAGTAGAATTGATTAGCGTTAATTTTGAAGAAACCTACCATTCTTCATAGAAAACTACTGCTTGAAATAGAACTCGAACTAGAACAGAACCTTCAAGGTTTGGATTGATTCTGGGCTTTTAATATTTCTGGTCCATATTTTTAAACTACCCACGAATGTGCTCTGCTGACGATCCAAAATTTACTCTGAATCATGAATTTTGCTTGGCTCATTGAATGAAGACTTGGCAGAACTTAAATATTGGACTGGGGAAAATGAGATTATTTAGATTAAATGCTGAGAAATGCACTGTCACTTCATATTGGCTCCAACAATCAACAACCAAGAATTAAGATCTGTTATTCATCATCCAGAACAATTTCCATGGATCTTAAATGGGAGTCGCACATAGGCAGTAGTAATAATGGAAAAAGTTATGATTCATAAAGCCTTCAAATATCTCAGAACATCTCGCATATCTATAATAAACTCAGAAATCTAAATACTTGAATGAGTCGCGATTCTCTGGATTCCATATTTCCAGTGTTAGCATCTATCTACTCCAAAAGACCAAACATTCAAGGATTCCTGCCTATAAGTACCTAAAGGCCATTACTTTTGCAATTTAAATCACTAACCCCCATCCTAGGGCCTACTTTCTCATGCTTCCTCTAGTGAAATGGAGAAAATTGTATAGGGAAAATACTAAGCGTAATTCCTTGTCTGATAATAATAATAGTAATACATTGGTAGCATTATTTAGCTTTTATTCAAATTGAATTTTCAAATTGTGATTTCTTCCTCTCAGCCTGCAATCTAGAATCTAGATGCACGTCCATAAAGTCCGTAACTGACGGTCTCCTCTTGGAAGGTGCCCACGAATGGACTCCAACCATGTACATTAGGTTAGTACAAGATTTCGGTCTGGAATGCGAAGTAGCTATACACTTGGCAAAATCCTACGGTGACAGAGCTTTCGCTGTGGCGAAAATGGCTAATTTGACAGGCAAAAGATGGCCTATCATAGGAAAGAAAATCCATCCAGAGTTTCCATATATTGACGCTGAAGTTAGATACGGATGTAGAGAGTACGCTCTGACGGCTATCGATATGATAGCTAGAAGAGTAAGATTGGCATTCTTGAACGTCCAGGCGGCTCAAGAAGCACTTCCAGAAATTATTAATATTATGAGTGAAGAATTGGGATGGACTGAAGGTAAATACTACGAAAACACTTGAAACATATTAAAATTATTCATTTTTTAGAGGAAAAGAAAACTCAAACCAGGCTAGCCAGTGAATTTCTACAAAACGAAATGGGTCAAAATGTAAATAGAGCGAGCAGAGATAAGATTCCAATCAATCTTAGCAAGGAGGAAATTCAGTTGTATATCAAGAGATTCCAAATTATTGATAAGGATAGGAAAGGATATGTCTCCATTAATGATATTAGAAGAAGTCTGAAGGTGAACCTCCTTTGCATTACCATTTGATTTTATTTTTCTTGGCACCAGAAATTTAATTTATCTTCTACTCTAGTCTCTAGGTATGAAACTTACAGATGAAGAAGTCCACAATTTACTCTGTGACATTAACGTAACATTCAACGGACAATTAGAAATGGCCGATTATTTACAAGTGAGTTGATTTTTCTCTATTTTACTGATATTTTATTTCCCTTACAGCAACATGACGGTAAGGAAGTTCCTGGTGAAGAACTTCACGAAATTCTTAAGGAAATCGACACAAATATGAACGGCCAAGTGGAGTTGGACGAATATTTACAGGTTTGGACATGATAATTGGAGTTGATTATCTTTTGTGGTTCTTGGCTTGGCTAGTTTTTTTCTTTGTTAATAAGTATTGTTCATTTGAGACTTACCTCAGTGTTTGGTAATGGTCCCACACCCTACACTACACTACACATAAATCGCCAGACTTTTACACTGAAGAACTAGATGATGTGCGTAATGTTTGCTATTTTTCCTTCTGTTTGCATGTAAAAAAAACCTATTGTTAAAAATCTATCGATTTCAACACCTAAGTATTAGTAAAAATCTAATAAATTGACGGACCTATTCATGTATACTAGAAAGCATGTTTCAAATTCTGAGCAACTCTAAAATCACAAACTGTAATGCAGAAACACTATTAGCCTATGATTTTTTTTCGAGTTGTCAGAGCCAGTAGGGCAAGTTCCATGATGCTTAAGTTAGAGCAGAGTAGTTAAATTGGTGACAGATTTAGGATCAACAGAAACGAAAAACGATCCCATGTAAATACATTTGCTGATGTAGCTTTGTTGCCAAGCTTGAGAATTACTTTCAAATCCTACACCACTTTTTTTTTGTGTTTATCATTTCTTATTTGTTATTTTTTTGCATGAAGATTTTTTTTCTCTTAACAATTTTATTATTAGTTTTTCAACATTTCGTTTACTTTATTTTTAGATGATGTCAGCGATCAAGGCCGGTCACGTAACCTACTCAAGATTCGCAAGAATGGCTGAATTGGAAGAACAGAAACACGAAAAAGAAATGCTGAAAAAGAAGATTTCAGTGGAAAGAAGTGGAGGTGGCTTGTAGAAGTCTTTGTCAAGTATAACGTCTTAACTTATGGTGAATTCATTCGTAATTAAATGTCTCTGTAAATAATAGAACAACGTTTTAGATTTTGTTATCTATTTAAGCATAAATATTTACTCTGTGAGAAAATGAAACAGAAAACTTGCACAGCAAAAAAATAAGACTCAGGTTTCCTAAACTTTAAAACATATTTTCATAATAAAAGAAGCACCACTGATAAATTTCATGTTCTACATATAATTTTCGAGTTTGTTCCTAAACAGAACAAAGTTCTTATTTATTTTTTAATGACTAAGGCTGGAGTTACCCAATTCCTTAATTCTTTATAGGTATTTGTCCTTAATTCTTGAAAAGTTCAATTTATTTATAATTGATGTTTTTTAAGATAAGAATTTAGAACAAAAATTAAGAATTAAGGAATTGGATACCTAACCCGGCCTTAAGAATAATGTTATTCAAGGCCAGTTCTTTTATTTGAGGAATGGTTGTGAATTTTAATTTAAATTATTTAAATAAATTATTATTAAAGTAATTTCGAAAAAAAAAAAAATCGTTTTATTTATGTATGTAACCATACGTTCATATATACGTACCTACGGTTCATTTCACGAAGGTTCGTACTTATGACATCGATAATGTCATAACTTGGAAAAAAAGGGTTGTCGTAGATTTATACAATAGCATTCAAATTTTGTATTTTATTGAATGACTTCTGGTTTAAAAATTGACGAACGGCGAGTTTCCCTATAAGGCACATGAGAACCTATTTTATGTAATACCAGGAGGCAATTATATCTATTATAATATAATAAGTAATATAGCATTCTAAGATCTTCGACATTTCGTCGGTGTTCAAGGCTTCTGATATGGAAATCTACTCCCGCATTACATATAGGTACTGTTGAACTATTCAAATAAGACACTCACCTGAAACGTGTAGTTTTTGAACTAATGAGAATAACTGACATTTGAGTGAGTCAGGTTAGTATCGTACTTGAACAACGTATTAATGAATAGATGGCTGCGGAACTCGCTCCGCTCGTCCCGCAGAGGTCCACCCATAAGTTCCGCAACAATCCACTCGTTTGTACTTAAATAACTTGTCACATTATGTTACTAGTTTGGTAAAGTAACATTACTAATTCCTGTTAAAAGGCAAATTGACAAAAAGTGGACAAGAATATTGAATGAAATATAGGGCATCCCATTTGAAAAAAGATGGAAGCATGCAAAATTCCACATTTCTGACATTCAAATTTTGATTCTGACCATGGTTTCTAAAAATTCATCCAAAACTGTACCACTTTTGTATTTACAACTTTCTTCTACCTGTAAAGGTAAAGCCTGTAGGTGGGGTGTCAATATATAAAAAAACACCCTGTACAAATAAGTGGATTATTGCGGAACTTATGGATGGACCTCTACCCATCTACTCACAATATATTGTTGAACTGTGCTAATAAGACACTCACCTGAAACGTGTAGTTTTTGAACTAATAGGCGTGTTCGGACTTAGTTCAGAATCAGTTCTGAATTGAACTGCGCATGCGCATTTGTTTATTTATGTTCGATATGAACAAATGCGCAAGCGCAGTTCAATTCAGAACTGATTCTAACTAAGTCCGAACAAACCTATTGAGAAAAATTCACAACTTGACGAATCAGGTTAGTTTTGTACTCGAATAACATATTGGTGAATAGATGGCTGGGTCCACCCATAAGTTCCGCGACTATCCACTCGTTTGTACTTGAATAACTTGTTACAATATATTACTAGTTTGGTAAAGTAACATAACTAATTCCTGTTAAAAGGCGAATTGACAAAAAGTGGATAATCTTACAAATTCTGACTTTATACAGGGTGTATATTTTAAGTGATACCACTATTGCTATATCCGAAACGGTAAGAGAAACAAGGGCGGTTAAATTAGAAAAAAGTTGCCTTTTTTGATGATCATTTACGACTCGTTTACAGTGTTGCCAAATTCCTCCTAGTTTATGAAATACCAAAAAACGCCAAAAAATATTTCATTAATTATTTCGAAAACTATTCATTTCCGAGACACAATTCAAATTTGAAAATTTTATAATTTTTTTCGCTCTACAACATGGCATCTTCAAATTTTGAATCCGACGTTTCGTCATCAAACTACCATCATCAACTTCATTTTTTTAAATACGGACTGGAATTATTTATGTCATTATTAGAAAGCGCCCTTCTTACCCGTTATAAAAATGACATAAAAAGTTCAGGTCCGTATTTAAAAAAATTAAGTTGATGATGGTAGCTCGATCACGAAACGTCGGATTTATAATTTGAAGATGCCATGTTGTAGAGCAAAAAAAATTAAAAAACTTTCAAATTTAGATTGTGTCTCAAATATCAATAGTTTTCGAAATAATGGATGAAATAATTTTAGGCGCTTTTTAGAAATCGCCCTGTATTTCGTAAACAAGAAGGAATTTGGCAACACTGTAAACAAGCCTAGAATGGGCATCAAAAAAGGCAACTTTTTTCTAATTTAACCATCCTTGTAGCTCTTACCGTTTCAGATATAGCAATAGTGGTATCACTTAAAATATACACCCGTATATTTGTATAATAAGTTATTTTTCAAGTACAAATAAATGGATTGTTGCGGAATTTATGGGTGGACCTCTGCGGGACGAGCGCAGCGAGTTCCGCAGCCATCTACTCACCATTACATATAGGTAATGTTGAACTATTCAGATAAGACACTCACCTGAAACGTGTAGTTTTTGAACTAATGAGAATAACTGACATTTGAGTGAGTCAGGTTAGTATCGTACTTGAACAACGTATTAATGAATAGAGGGCTGCGGAACTCGCTGCGCTCGTCCCGCAGAGGTCCACTTATAAGTTCCGCAACAATCCACTCGTTTGAACTTGAATAACTTGTCACATTATGTTACTAGTTTGGTAAAGTAACATTACTAATTCCTGTTAAAAGGCAAATTGGCAAAAAGTGGACAAGAATATAGAATGAAATATAGGGCATCCCATTTGAAAAAAGATGGAAGCATGCAAAATTTCACATTTCTGACATTCAAATTTTGTTTCTGACCATGGTTTCTAAAAATTCAGCCAAAACTGTACATACAACTTTTGTATTTACACCTTTCTTTTACCTGTAAAGGTAAAGCCTGTAGGTTGGGTGTCAATATATAAAAAACACCCTGTACAAATAAGTGGATTATTGCGGAACTTATGGATGGACCTCTACCCATCTACTCACAATATATTGTTGAACTGTGCTAATAAGACACTCACCTGAAACGTGTAGTTTTTGAACTAATAGGCGTGCTCGGACTTAGTTCAGAATCAGTTCTGAATTGAACTGCGCATGCGCATGTGTTTATTTATGTTCGATATGAACAAATGCGCAAGCGCAGTTCAATTCAGAACTGGTTCTGAACTAAGTCCGAACAAACCTATTGAGAAAAATTCACAACTGAGTGAATCAGGTTAATTTTGTACTTGAATAACATATTGGTGAATAGATGGCTGGGTCCACCCATAAGTTCCGCAACTATCCATTCGTTTGTACTTGAATAACTTGTTACAATATATTCCTAGTTTGGTAAAGTAACATAACTGATTCCTGTTAAAAGGCGAATTGACAAAAAGTGGATAATCTTACAAATTCTGACTTCATATAATAAGTTATTTTTCAAGTACAACCTTTGCGGGACGAGCGCAGCGAGTTCCGCAGCCATCTACTCATCATTACATATAGGTACTGTTGAACTATTCAGATAAGACACTCACCTGAAACGTGTAGTTTTTGAACTAATGAGAATAACTGACATTTGAGTGAGTCAGGTTAGTATCGTACTTGAACAACGTATTAATGAATAGATGGCTGCGGAACTCGCTGCGCTCGTCCCGCAGAGGTCCACCCATAAGTTCCGCAACAATCCACTCGTTTGTACTTGAATAACTTGTCATATTACATTACTAGTTTGGTAAAGAAACATTACTAATTCCTGTTGAAAATCAAATTGACAAAAAGTGGATAATCTTACAAATTCTTACTTTATATAATAAGTTATTGTTCAAGTATAGGGTGTTTTTTTTATATATTGATACCCTACCTACAGCCTTCACATCCACAAGTAGATGAAAGGTGTAAATACAAAAGTTGTACAGTATTGGCTAAATTTTTAGAATCCGTGGTCAGAAACAAAAATTGAACACAATTTCCCGATTCCAAAACTATATAGTTTGTCTATATTTGGTTGAGCCATCTACAACATATTTGGTTCTAGAAATTTCAAAAATACTATATCAGAGAAACCAAGTACCTCAAATTTTACCTGCAGCTTTCACCTGTACAGGTATAATGGTTCACAAAATCAGTAGTACGATAGTATTTTTACAATTTTTGGAGCCGAATATATGAGAGACTGTTCAATCAAATATAGACAAACTATATATTTTTGGAATCGGTTTATTGTGCTCTTCAAGAATATAGAATGAAATATAGGGCATCCCATTTGAAAAAAGTTGGAAGCATTCTACCTGTAAAGGTAAAGGCTGTTGGTGGGGTGTCAATATATAAAAAAAACACCTAAATACCTAAAATACTGGAAATAAAATTCAAATAAATGTGACTCTTTTTTTATTTTTCAGTGCATCATCTTTTAAATCAGCAAAATATTTTAAGACAAAATATTGCATTTAAAAATTAAGTTAAAATAACAATAAATAGAAAAATATCAAAAATACAAAAACACTAACATAATGCATCTATGAAAAAAATTAATTATAAATAATTAATAGAACAATATAATTAAATAAATAATTTTAGCACTAATGGCCAGCTACATATAAAGGTATAAAAAAAAACTGGAAACTAACATTAAGTTATACAAACAATTAAGTTTTGGATGTTTTTAGACCTCCACAAACTTAACATCTTAAAAATAATTTAATAAATAAGGCTTCTAGTTTTAGACTTCCTAAATATCAAATAAACAATTTATAAGGAAACTAGAACAAACAATTTTTTTATTTACAACTAAAAAATAATATAATGGTTTTACCATTTAGGATGTTTAGTTGCAAAATGATAAATTTGCATTTAGTAGCTCTCTGTGACTGTTTTGAGAGCTTTTTTCCAAGTAACAGTAGCTTGGTTGTGAAAATGGTCTTCTACTAAGTGCGTTTAATCCGCTACACGAAATAAAAGAATCAGGTTTATGACAATGCAAAGTACTGCAAAAAAAATGACGTAGACGCTGTTCGAATAGGAGGAACCGTCAAATAGTTCTTTAATTTCTTCTTTTTCTACTCGAGATTTGTGTTTGGAACCTAGAACAAAGAAATTATCAGACAAATAAGCAAAACGTATACTTTTGTCTTTGATGTAGGTACAGTTTAGTGGATTTAATTATTATTTTTTTATTTATCAAAGGAAGCATTATCTTAGGTCTACAATGGACCATTTACTGACTGCTGCAAAAAGGAAAAGGACATTTTTTAAATAAAGTAAACGATCATTAGGTATGTACCATGTTTGTAAAATAAAGTATTTTTAGATTCTTCCGAGCTTTTCGTATCAGCCGCCCAAAATAGAAAAACTATATAAGTTGGATTAAGTTCAATTTTAAGGAACAAAATGTGTTAAAATGTGAAGGTTGTTTTTCTCTTCTATTTTTGATTGAAATTTTATTCAAAAAAATGTAATGTGTTGATAAAAGGCCAAACTTCATAGGTGCAACATCAATGACAGGTAACTAGATTTAAAATATTTTACGATTCACGTGTGATAATCACATAAAGACACACACGTGACCACAAAACTCTTGCTATAACACCGAAAACATTCGTATCATAAAACTATTCTTATCCAACTGGGTCGATACCCAGTGTTTACGATTAAATATCGGTTATAGAACTACAACTATTTGTAAATGTTAAGGAAAAGTTGGCAGAAGACAACTTACTTGACAGATGTATGTTAAGTTGAATTTCACTGTTGGCGGTCACATCACAAATATTACAATTGAAAGTTTTGCCTAATCGGTCAACCTTGGATTTGTGTCTTTTCCCTTCCAAATGCTTTTGGAAGATCTTCGAGCCGCTTACTTTTATGTTGCAAATGTCACAGCAAAGCTATAGAAAAAAAAAATCGAATAACCTTTACGTAAAGGCGAATAAATTCAAAACATACCGATCCATCACTAGCAGTCCTCACAAAACTAATTTGATTATTTCTTACTGTGGTTGGTACCAAAAAATCGCCAGTGAGTGTTCTGGTGGTCTTACTAAGATCATTGTTAAACGATTCCGAAGGGTGGTCATCATTTTCAGGTTCTGGAAGGTCTGGCACGTTTTCTACTCTATTATGAATATCACCTGACATTTTATTCATAAATAATTCAAATTAGTTCAAATATTAGTTAGGACAAATACACACACAGTTACTGATAGTTTAGGTTAGTGACTGATACCTATTTGAATCTATTAGTACAAAAAAGAAGGCGGATAAAAATGTTTTTTTTTTTTTGCTGCAATGGAATAAATTATACCTACCTATACGAGGGAGTTTTAGAAGATTGATATTATATTATGTAGGTTCATCAAAAAATTCAATGAATGATGTTATTGTTTTCCTAATTAGTTTGATCAATCAGCACCAAAAAAGTACTAAATGCGTCAAAGGAAAAATATGCAAATATCGTAAAAGCAACAATGTCTCATTGTATTACGGATTAAGCATACAAAAGTGGCAAGGAAAAGCGTCAGTAAGCCATGTGCCCTAATCAGAACGACTTAATCTTGAGATACAATACTGTCCTTTGTATTAAGAGCCTTGATACAGAAGTTTATTGAAAAATCTCTTCTACTCGAATATACAGGCACAAGATGGTAGGTAAGTAGGTATTTGAAAAATTGATGAATTTGCAGAATTATCTAATCCATTTTTGACAGCGATGTTAAAGTAATAATACCTATAAATACTTGAAAATAAAAATAAAAGCTCCCAATGAGTTTTCACTGGTTTTGCATTTTTTTTGTGGAATTATCTGTTTGAAAAGTACCTATGAACAATACATCCGTTGAAGCATTTTATACAATGATCTTGTTCGTCATCTGGTCGAATCCTGAAGCTTTCCCATTTTTTGGCTTAGGTGTATGCTTTGTTTTATTTATTTCCTACTTAATACCAATCTCTGTTCGTCTATAGTTTTTTGAATTGATCTTCTATTATTTACTCCATTTCGTTGACTCCTGTAGCGATGTCTTGACTTTCTGGATTGTCTAATATATTTCTGATTTCTTCACTATACATTGTCAAAGTTTTTACATTATTCGGTTATTGTTTTTTCTTCCTCAATGCCATTATTTTTACTCCATGTACATAGATCTTATTCTCCCATTTGGAATTTGTAGGTAAATATTATTTCATAATAATTTCACACCAGTTTTATGAGGATCATAAGTCTATCAGATAAAAATATAATCCGTTTGTCTAGTCAGTCTAATTTAAATTGATATTTATCCAAAATTTTCAGCTTTCGTATAATATCATCAGCTTTGAAAGGTCATAATTCTTTTTCTATTAAAGATAGAAAGCTGAAATTTTCAGCAATTCTTATCCCAGTAGAGGACAACAATCCCTGATTTCAGCCCATTTGGAGTTATAGTTCACGTGTTAAGCAATTTGGGGTAATTTATCAATTTTTCAATTTTTCTGAGTGCCGTTTTTCATAGAATCTGGCTCTAAATCTCAGAATAATTTAGTATATGGAGTTTGGGGATCCCAAAAGACAATTAGGACATAAAATCTCGACAAAAAAAAATTTGAAATTTCATCGTTTCAGTAAGAAGGTAAAAAAAAATATCTACCTTGTGATTTAGATTTTGAAAAACTTTGAAAATCATAACTTTTTTTCTATCAAAGATAGAAATAAAATCGTGTTAAACAACTTGGGGTGATTTATTAATTTTTCAATTTTTCTGAGTGCCTTTTTTCATAGAATCTGGCTCCAAATCTCAGAATTATTTAGTGTATGGAGTTTGGGGATCTCAAAGGACCATTAGGACACAAAATCTCATTTAAATTTTTTTTTGAAATGTCATCGTTTTAGTAAGAAGGTACCTTATGATTTAGATTTTGGAAAACTTTGAAAGATCATCACTTTTTTTCTATTAGAGATAGAAAGCTGAAATTTTCAGCGTTTCTTATCCCAGTAGAGGACTACAATTCCTGAAAATTTTAGGCCATTTGAACTTATAGTTCCAGAAATAAAATTGTGTTGAGCCATTTGGGGTGATTTATCAATTTTTTAATTTTTCTGAGTGCCTTTTCTCATAGAATCTGGCTCCAAATTTCAGAATAATTTAGTGTATGGAGTTTGGGGATCTCAAAGGACGATTAGGACCCCCAATCTCATTAAAAAAAAATTTGAAATTTCATCGTTTTAGTAAGTAGGTACCTTATGATTTAGATTTTGGAAAACTTTGAAAGATCATCTTTTTTTTTTCTATCAGAGATAGAAAGCTGAAATTTTCAGCGTTTCTTATCCCAGTGGAGGACAAGAATCCCTGAATATTTCAGCTCATTTGGACTGATAGTTGCAGAAATAAAATCGTGGTAAGCAATTTGGGGTGATTTATGAATGGACCATTAGGACACAAAATCTCCACAAAAAAAAATTGAAATTTCATCGTTTCAGTAAGAAGGTAGCTTATGCCTTATGATTTAGATTTTGGAAAACTTTGAAAGCTCATTACTTTTTTTCTATTAAAGATAGAAAGCTGAAACTTCCAGCGATTCTTATTCCAGTAGAGGACTACAATTCCTGAAAATTTCAGCCCATTTGGACTTATAATGCCAGAAATTTGGGTTGATTTATCAATTTTTCAATTTTTCTGAGTGCACTTGGGTAAGGTCTTGCTAATTCCTTCGAAAGTTTCATAATGAACTTCACTCATTTATACTGGGTTTTGATTTTTGGGAAGTCTCTCATCGTGCGTTTATTATCTCATATTGTTTTTTTCCTATACATAGTTGGTGCTGGTACTCTTAAATAACCAGAATTCATTTAAGTATGTGTCGGAATGTATATAAAGAAGCCGAATACGAGCTCATTAAAATCCTACTAAGAACATGTAAAAATTGAAATGTGCTCTTCGAATGCGTTAAATTACACAGTAGAAATTTATTATGCAGTTGAGGCAGTCTTGCTGCGTCTACTGTAGTTTGGATCATTTATTGTGCCGGTTTTTAAATTTTGGTCAGTATAAAAGTAATTTAAAATTCCAGAATAAAGAAAGTTAAATGTAACTAACCGTGTAAATCTAATGCAAATATTACATCTTTTAAGGTAAATTTATTATACAAGTCATGGTCACCATGTATGGTGACTGAGGTTAATAATCACATACTTGTTACCTGAAAACATGATGTTATACATAATGTTGTGAATCTTATATAGGTAATTGCAAAAAATATGTCTGTACGTTCATAGGGAAGAATTGTCATGGTTTTACTTAGACACGTAAAAGTTAAATTTTATTAATTTTGTCCTTGCCGATATTTGATTGCTGTTTTTACAATATTCAATTTTATATTTTGTTACAGCAAATCTATGACTGAAAGAATATAGCTATAATAGAGATTTGCATCATTGCGATAATTAAAAAAAAAACAATTATTGTTTTATTGGCTTTTTATTGTTATGCTTATGTGAATTCCACCTCAACTCACTAATTTATCAGCAGGAAAAACCATATAAGCAAGAGAGTACCTACGCACTAAGTAGTTATACCTATAAAATTATACCTAAGTGTACTTATTCGTATTTTCGAACCAACAAAATCCTTTTTTTGAATGTAACCATTGATAATTATACCTACCAAAAGTTTTAATTGCCTTTTTTTTTAATTATAGGCATACAATCTAAATTACGGCCTACAGGACGATGACGAAGCTCTCTAAGGCTAGAAAACCGCGCATTACGGAATCAGATGGCAGCTTATCGAATTATTAGATGATAAGATTTAGACCTAAACGAGAAAAAAAAGAGTAAAACAGGACATTGTTAGTGATGCAAAAAATGGTGTGGGCGTAGTGTTTAGAAAACTGAAATAGTGACTTAAAAGTAGTGATTATGGACCAGGGAGAAAGGACAGTTCGAGAGCGGAATCCTAGGGAGGATGCATCGATATTTTCGATTGTATTTTTTTTGTGAGTACACAATAATTATTCAATAATTGAATTTACTTAAGTAAAGGTGGAAGATAATGTTTAGTACATTTAAATTCTATTGGAAATTAGTTATTTGTTTTTCACAGGTAGTTTGGGAAATAAGACTATATTCCGGTTTTAAGGGGATTTTTCATTTCCTGTCTGCAAAATGTATATGGTGTCTACTTTGTGTACCTATACGTTTTCCAATTTTCAGTTTTTGCCTTCGTCTTGCTGCTAAGCATATTTATTTTCAGTTATAAACCTACTTCTTCATTGGAATTTATTTTAGAATTTTCTTATTATCTTGCGCATCTTGACAACGTTATGATTATTTTATGAAAGGTTTATTTGACGGTTGAGCAAATGTTGTTTGGTCATAAGTTTTCCTACTAAGCCATTGTCGTTTGGTAGTTATCATACAACTTTGACTTAGTTAAGTTTATTTTGTATGACGTAGGTACGACGTCGGTTTTACCCGAAAATCTGTTTCTTCGGTAGGAAATGTTTCGTAGGCGAAAATTCTTGCACGGTTCTTCAAACGCTGCAAACTTTTGTGCAACAATGTATTCAATGCTTCAAAACTTTTAAGGAAATCAATAGAAAAAAATTGCAGTTATTTCAACAAATTGACAAAAAAAAAAGACCAAATTCACGGCTAGATTAGATAAAATTTGAAGTGAATGATAACATCGAGGGCGTTTGTAAAGTCTTCAAAATATTAGAAATTCCGTTTATCGTTATCAGCGTGCGATTATTATATTGAGCAGAATAATATATATTTAATGGGTGTGTTACCTAACTAAATAGTAATACATTTTGGAAAATGTGGAACAACAAACCCATTAGAAACAATGAGTTATTAAATTTTAATTTCTTTAACGTTATTACGCTTTGGCTGCGTGTTAACTACTATAAACAATCAAGCACAGTAGGTAATAATAATTCCAGAAATAATTGAAAATTTTTAATTAGGGTCGAATACCAAGAACTTTCATGTACTATTGAATTTTTATGGCATTTGAGAAGAATGCATCCTGCCTGAATTTCTTTGTTCCTCAAAATAACCTTAACATTTGTTAACATGTTTAGAAATAAATTTAAGAAGTAAATAAATTTGTAGCAAAACGCCCCAAGTTCTCTATGAATAGTTATATGGTAAATGGCGAGCGGTATATTGATGGTGTTTATTTACTTGGAGCTTCTAACTAAAATCTGTGGAAGGGTCTATTTGCAAGAGAGAGAAACATACTATTGAGGTGCAATAAATTATATTTTATTATACATAAAACCAAAAAAAATTTTATCAGCCAAATATCTTCCAATTCTGACAGCCTCATCTATTTCTATAAATTCAATTACTTCACATCCGTTCTAAAATTGTTATTATTACGGACCACTGAAATATCCCTACTAAATAAGAAACGCCCTATTTCTACTATTCCTAATAACTTATAAGTTAACTCATTTCAACACTTCCCTTCACCTAATTATATAAATTCTTTAAAATTTCTTTATGCCCACTTGCACCAACCGCAACTCAAATTGGTCTTGGCTAAGTCAGGTCCTAATTTTAAGTTAGCCTTTAATTTAATTTACTTGCACCATAGACAAATTATGCCGACTTGGCAATGTCGGACTTAATAATTTGGGACAATGGCAACGTTGCGAAATCCTCAGTAAACAGACAGAAGTGTGACAAAAGCAAATTCTAAAAAGCAGAGCGGCGCGAATTTTACATTAGCATAAAAGGAGGCCTTAATTAATATAGTGGCATGACTTAAAAATATTATTGAAAACAAAAAAAACTGATGCTCTATCCATTCATGAAAAGAACGAAGCCTGGGAGAAGGTATGCAGGAATTTCAATGCTGCTTCACCGGGCATGAGAGAGAGAAGTTTGGATTCTTTGAAACAGTATTATAAGTATAAGAATCAAAAAGAGGATCTACAGAAACAAAATAAGATATATGAGAAATTTATAGGTTATTACGGGTTAAATTTTTTGTTAGAACCCACCTTAGGGCCGGTTTCTCAATAGCGAGTCACCCCCGGGTTAAGCATAACTCCAGGGTTAAACCTCAAGTTAAACATAGCAACTCGACACGGTTACCCTGGAGTTAAAACCACTGGAAATGACTCGCTATTGAGAAACCGGCCCTTAATGGGTTCTAACAAAAAATTTAACTTAACCTAACCTAACTCCAGACTCAATTTAAATTTATTTTTTGTCGTTCATAAAGAACTTTAATTTAATTTAAGATTTATATATTCTGCCAATGATACATATGACGTATGCCAAAATTCGCGTTTGCGCAATGCTCTAAATCTACATTAATTTAAGGAAAAGATAAAAGTTGGCGAACTTCTTGTTGAGTTAGGTTATATCTTAAGTTAAGTGGAGCTGTATGAACGCCGTCGTTAGCCTGCATATTCCGAACTTAGGTTAGGTTAGTTCAAATGTTAAGTTAGATTCAATTTTCTGCTAGAACTCACCTTTATATTATGTTAAGTCGAATTTAAGGCCTGGATTTTGGCGACTTAAGAAAATTTAATTTAAGGCTACTTTAAGTCTAGCTCGACTGCTGGTGCAACTAACATTTAGAGTTAAGTTGCGGCTTAAAGATAAGTCCGACTTAAGTTAGTCTTAAAATGTTGGTGCAAGTGGCCATAAAGTCCTTTACTAACTGCTTATGAAAAACCCAAAATAATTACCTATTTGTTTATCAATATAGGTATTACTAACTTATTCTTATAAAACCTTACCTACAATAATTTCTACTTGAAAAATAAAATCCCTAATTCAAAAGTTCGGCACTTAAGATCATCAATGTCTCTTGACGAATAACAAATTTCAAATAAACCTTCTCAATACGTCTAATGATTATCGTCAGCAGTTTTATCTCATATGAAGGACAACAGTTCTTAAACTAACCACTCCATTACATTGAATGATAACCGTCAACAATCTTATTTCATGCACAAGTTTCTTTTCGACACATCCCATTTCCTTTTTAACAGAACAAATTACTATCATAAGTTTCCTTTAACAACTTTCAAATATTTTAAGACAATTCTATTTCATGAACATCAAGATTCTTTTCAAATTTTCCTATTCCACTCTTATTATTCAAAATCATTGATAAAAGTCAGAAAATTATTAAACACTAAAGTACTTCTTACATTTAACTTTGCACACGTAAAATTACTTAATTAATTACTCAAAATTTTTAGCTAGCACGCACATAAATGTTGACGAATTTAATTGTTCTTTCTTTCAAAATTTTCCGCTACTTTTTCAAAAAGACTGTTACCGAGGCAATACAAGAAACTTTTCGCGAATATTTTCTCTGATTGACACTTTAGGTACTGTAGATTTTAACTCAAACTGGACTGCGAACTCATCTCTCAACTGACAACTACTTTCCACTTCTAAAACCGCGGTATTTATATCAAATCGATCCCCCCGCAAAGTATTATTAATTATCCCCCAAATCGTCAATAGGCGGTCGTTTGCCTAGCAATCCGACAATTCCATTGGCCGACCTAAATATTATTAAAAATAATGATGCAATTTCCTTGAAATTTTTATCATTCTTAGTTTAAAAAAATCGAATAATTATGTCGCAATATCCTAATTTATCGAGGTCAATAAATTTTTTTGGTTCAAGAATGCCATAAATCATTTATAATTACTTGGCCTCGCTCTTATAAGTTCATTGATTTAGGAGATGACACAGGCTTGATGACGAAATACCTAATATAATATTAAACGTTAATTTGTTTCCTTTTCAATTTATTGATACTGATTTGGAGATACCGGAAATTCTGTTTTTGATTATTTGACATATAATAAATTTTTACAGTGAAGACATTGTGATTTATGGGTCTATTTTCTCGGAATATTACAAATTGCAAATTTGTTTTTATATGAACTGTATGCTTGGGAAAGAGAGCAGTCACATAACAAAGTATCTATACTCATTAACTTTACTGTGTGAAGAAGTTTGATTTTTGCTGAGCATAAAATGTAACTTGAATACTTTGTATTTAAATAGATCAATAAATAGATAAATTGATTTGATATATTGATATATTACAGTTTCACCTCTCCAATCCTTAAGAAAGGCCGGAAACGCGATCTACAAGAAAAAGATATCTACCAAGTCCGGCCGAAATTCGAATCTGAAAATCTGGGCAATCAATTGGAAAATTCCTGGAACATAAATTGCGCAGGAAAAGAAAGGATCGATTTGAATAAAAACGGAATTAAACATTTGGAAAAACACAATAATGAAGAAAAAACTGCAATATTCAAGTGCCTGGTTAGAAATTTTGGTTGCTATTATTTTTGTTTGGGCTTAATGCAGTTAGCAATGAGAACTGCTCTGATGTAGGTGTATAAATTACAAAACAAATATAATCCTTTAATAAATTTATTGTAGAGTACTTCAACCCAAAGCCATATCAAAATTCGTAGCCTATTTCGAGAAAGGCCAAACGAACATATCCAGATCCGAAGTCTACGGTTATGCCTTATTTGTAATATCGGTAAACCTAATAAATTGTATCTATAATCATAACTATCAGCAACTAATTATGGAGTATTCTGTAAAAGTTAGAACATCCCTGTGTTCGCTTATTTATAGGAAAGCTCTAAAGCTAAATATAGCTGCTTCCTCAACAACTTCTATGGGAAAGGTCGTAACTCTTATCACAAAAGATGTATATTGCATCGATGGCGCCCTGATGTTTCTCAACGACATGTGGATTGGCATAATTCAAACTATCATTATCACTGTAATGCTTTATAATAGAGTTGGAGCTTCAGTTTTTGCTGGCATTGGCTTTTTCATTTTAGTGATTCCAATACAATGTAAGTATCTACAATAATATTTTGGTATATACTTTGACGATGATGTTTCAGCTTATTGTGGAAGAAAATTTTCTTTTACAAGATTAGAGGCAGCAAAAAAGGCCGAACAACGAATCCAGCTAGTGAAAGAAGCCCTCAATGCTATCAAAATTATTAAAATGTATAACTGGGAGAATTATTTTGAAAAATTAATTACTACTTTGAGAATGTAAGTATCAGTATTAGTGTCTTAAGGATTTTATAGTTCAGTTAAATGGTATAAGGTTTGTCAAAAATGTTATGATTCTTCATAAACAAATATGCGTTTAAGAATTTAATTGTAGAAATCAACTAACTTATCGCGAGAATTATTATTACAACATGCTAAGCTTGTTTGTTTAATATAAAGCTAAGTGATCAATTAAATTATAAAATTTTACGATTCCGCATAAAAATACAAACAAGAATTTTTTTCTTGGTTTCTTCTTCATAACGTAACACAAGAAGGAAAAAACCCGAACAATACTTTATTTATTTTTTAGTAAAGAAACCGATAAGCTGAAAGTAATCTATTACCTAAAAGCCACAATATTGACTCTAGGAGGCTTAACAATGAAAGTAGCTTTTTTCCTCTTGATCATTACATACACTCTAGTTGGAAACTCAATTACTGCCGAAACTCTATATTTCATCCAGCAATGTTTCTTTGCATTACGCTCCTGTATCACTACTTCAATACCTATGGGTATCAGTTATATGGCTGAATTATGTGCAGTAATGAAAAGGTACTAACATATTATTTAATTTAATACTATTTTTGTTTGTAAATATATTAATTTTTTTTAGATTCCAACACTTCCTAAGCGCTCCAGAATTCAACCAAAAAAGTACTACCAAAGCTCCAGCGATAAGCCCTAAAGTTTACTTGGATCAAGTTTCCGTAAAAATTCAAAATCAAGAAGTTCTTCACTCAGTATCGATTGATATTGAAAAGGGCCTATTGGTAGTTGCTGGTAATATCGGATGTGGCAAAAGCTCTCTTCTTAAAGCCATCCTTAACGAATATCCCATTTCCAAGGGGCACATGTTGGTACGAGGATCCGTATCGTATACTCCAGAAGAACCTTGGCTGTTTCCTTCTACCATAAGACAAAATATATTATTTGGACAGCCTTATAATGAAAAACGTTATCAGGAAGTTTTAAATGTTTGTGCCTTAACTCACGATTTGAATAATTTTGAAAAACTTGACAATACTGTTGTTGGTGATAAAGGGATTAACTTAAGCAAAGGGCAACAAGCTAGGATATGTTTGGCTAGGGCAGTGTACAAAAATAGCGATATTTACTTGTTGGACGATTGTTTATCGGCTTTGGATGCACATGTAAGGAACTAGGCTTATTTGAAAATGTTTGCTTAAATTTGTTTCCAGGTGAATAACCATGTATTTAGAGAGTGTATTAGAGGATTTTTGAAAGATAAATTAGTAATTTTGATTACTAATAATATAAACAACATAAAGCAAGTGCCTACAGGTTGTATTTTGTTCATGGAAAATGGACGGACAATGGATTTGAATCAGCAAAAGGCTGCTTTGGATAAGAGAATTACCTATTACATTGATGAAGGTATAATCATTTGGACTTTTCTATTCTAAGAAAGTTGATTTTTTTTTCTTCAGATAATCAATACACCTATGACGGCATTGACTCCGATGAGGAAAACACCTCAGAAACCGATAAATTGCTCCTTAACAAGGAAGCAACAGAGCCCAGAAGAAATCTGTATTACGAAGAAAATAAGCAAGGCAGTGTATTATGGAAAAACTATATAGCTTATTATAAATACACTGGAGGAATTGCTGTATTATTATTTACCCTTGTTGTATTCGTATTGTGCCAAGGTGCTCTGGCTTATTCGGATAAACTTCTAAGTTTATGGTAAGAATTATGTGTGTTGAAAATGTTTTTGTTTTACAAAAACCTTTGAAAATATCAGTGTTCCTGAAAATGTCATTTATGGTCTGTGGTAGGTATCTGATTTATGAAGCAACAGTTTTTCCTCGATGTTTTTTTTTCCTGTTGAAGAAATGTTTTAGGATCCTTGGTTTGTTCCTGCTTGAACAACTCAATATGACTCCCAATCACAAATAGAATCTAAGCCACATATTTTTTAGGGTAAACATAGCACCGGCAATATCAAATTTAACCCGAACCAATCAAACAGATTCAGAAACATACCAAATTCAAACCCAAAGAAGCGACAAGTTGCTGAAATTCTATATCCTAGCCATAATAATAGGCACAGCACTAACATTGCTACGTTCTTTCGCTAATTTCTATTTTTGCACTAGAGCTGGAAGACAGTTGCATAAAGTCTTGGTAACGGGTGTGCTAAATGCTTACATGACATTCTTTGATAATCATTTTATTGGAAATATCGTCAACAGAGTATCAAAGGACTTCCATACTATTGACGAAAATATACCATTTATTATTTATGAGAATTTAAGGGTAAGTTTGAGACAAAAAAATATATTTTAAAAATAATTTTTTAATTTTTTTTTCAGTCTTTCTTTCTTGTTCTAGCAACAATCGGACTAATAGCTTCAGTCAATTATTACTTCTTGATACCTTCTGCTGTTCTTTTTATTATTTTGTTTTTCATTCAGCGGTATTACATTCCAACTGGAAGAAGTTTGAAAAGATTAGAAGCAGCCAGTGAGCAAAATATTTTGCACGTTTATTTATTTGATTATCAAATCATTTGCAGCAAGAAGTCCAATGATTGGTTACATAAACGCCTCCTTAGAAGGCCTAACTACAGTCCACGCTTGTCAACAAGAAAAAATCCTACAACGTGAGTTCGATAGGCATCAGGACTTTTTCACTTCTGCTTATTACATGAATCAATGTACCGTCAGAGTTTTTGCGTTTTCTATGGACATGACTTGTATAGCATTTATTGCTTGTATTGTAATAAAGTTTGCTATTTTTTCAGAAGGTAAAAATATAGTTTTTTTAATTCATTTTTTGAAAAACATATTTTGTAGGTGTAAAGGCTGGCGATGTAGGTCTAGCAGTCTCTCAAGCAATGACCCTAACAGGTTTACTTCAATGGGCTATTAGACAAGCAGCAGAAATGGAAAACACCATGACTTCCGTTGAAAGAGTTTTGGAATATGGAGAAGTGGAAAGTGAAAATAAATCTGGCCAGGAACTGAGTAAATGGCCAACAGCTGGTTCCATTAAATACAATGATGTATCACTGTCATATAAAACAAGCGAAAAAGTTTTGAAAAATATAAGTTTTGAAATTGAGGGTAAAACTAAAATTGGCATCGTTGGAAGAACTGGCGCAGGCAAATCTTCAATAATATCCACACTTTTTAGACTCTATAACTACGAAGGTATCATTACAATTGACAATATTGACATTAAAACTTTAAATGTAGAATATCTAAGATCTAATATTGGAATCATTCCTCAAGATCCAATATTATTTAGTGGAACTATTCGTTCAAACATTGATCCTTTAAATAAATATTCTGATTCGGAAATTTGGTCAGCTATAGAAAAAGTGCAAATGAAAAGCTTAGTGAACAGCTTAGAACAAGAAATTTTGGATCATGGACTTAATTACAGCTCCGGTCAAAGACAGTTGCTCTGTCTCGCCAGAGCTTTAGTTTGCAAAAACAAAATTATAGTTTTGGACGAAGCCACAGCAAATATGGACGTTGAAACTGATAATTTGCTGCAAAAAGCCATACAGAATAATTTTGCTGACTGTACAGTGCTTACGATAGCACATAGACTGCATTCCGTTCAAACTGCTGATAAAATTTTAGTGGTGGAAGATGGAAAAATTGTACAATTTGACAGTCCCGGTGTACTCTGGTTAGATAAGGATGGTTTGTTTTATAAAATGGTACGGGACGCCGGTGGTGCTTCGTCAAATTTTTCATTTTTGTAATTTAGTTTTTTTTATACAATAAATTATTTTGTATTGTAATTGTTTGTAGTTTTAGTTCAGATTAATTGTCACCAGTCAGTCAATCAACTTTAATGAGGAATTGTTTCTTTTCTCTAAATTGCTAAACTATCCAAGTTTCGAGGCAAACTGTCAAACGATTGGATATTGAAAAAAAAATAAAAAATTTAGGGTGGATACTAGAGAATACACACTAGGTCCATTTCTGGGGTACATCCAATAATGTAATGATTGAGTCCATTCAAAATCTATGGAGCACCTGAAGGTTGGGGCCAGCCATCATACTGTCAACTACTTAAGTAAATACCACTCTGTACATCAATTTTACTAAGGTGTGTCAACGAGTTAGCATTTATTTAGTATAAATACCGCGCTGAAATCCATTACCGGCAGCCTAAGGCTAGTGCAAAGTACCTCAAATGGGAACTGCCCCTCTAGCTAAGTCTGCTCCTAGTGCAAAGACCTAATTTTAAATGGAAAACACAGAAGACCCTTAAGGCACACAAACAAGGAAAATATTCTTATGACGGGCCTAGTCACAACAAAACAGCCAGTCAAAGAGAAGCAGCCTAGCCCTAATTTGAAAATAGATGAACTAGAGTTCAACAAATTCATAAAAGGCCACACTAACTGTATGTGCATCTCTTCAAGAGTGTCAAAGACACGAATTTTGCTCATATTGAAAAACCATACAAATTCAAATAGGTATAGCGCCTCCTATGCAGGGAACAACAGCGCCCTCGGTATGGAACCGAGGTCGACAAAAAAGGTACGAAAAATACTAGATTCGTACAGCCAAGCGACTGCGAAACACTCTCTCTCTTTTCGCCAAACACGAAACACGAACACACAATTTTTAATCCGTTTTCGCACACAAGAAAGTCGATGAATATCGCGAGCTCGCCGGTTACCGGTTTCGAAATAAAAGCCGGTAGTGTTGTGCAACCGAAACAAAACCCGGGATCCCGGTATTAAAAATTAACTTAGAACTAGAAGAACCCCAGAACCACAGGTAAGGCGCCTTTTATCATATTGTCTTTTGTATGGTTATTTTTTTGCTACATATTCATTAGTTGCGCTTACAGTCCACGTAACTCCGAAGGTGATTCTAAAATATCAACCATTACGCCAACACTAACATAACAACCGACCAGGTCAACGGTTTCCTAAAGAAAGAAAATGGAAATATAGGCATCCTACCAACTAACGCCATTTTGGCAGTAGGTGTAACTCAAGAATACAAAGCGAAAAAAGCAATTCTTAAGAAATACAGGCATTTGCTTCCTAGAAACAGGCAAAAGGGGGACATAGGAGAGTTAGCGATTACAAAACATGGGAAATAATCGGCAATTTTTCTATTTACGAGAAAATCCATGAGAGAAAAGCAAACTCCAAGAAATTTATGTAAATTTCTAAGAGCACTTAGGACCAGCATCACAGGAAAATCGGTTGAAAAATTGATTATCCCAAGGCAAGGATGGGGATTAGGAAAAGAATGGGCAAGATTCAAACAAATGTTATATTTTCTATTTAAGGACACGCGGGCGTCACTGTTCTTATATACAGAGAAGAACCAAGTCATAAAATAGAGGAAAAACCCGAAGAGGAAATCAGTAACCTAATGCAAATCAGTACGGAAACCAAAGTACAAATTAGGTGTTACTAAAGATTATACCAATGCAGATATAACTTTGACTCGTTAGTAAAAAATCATCTGGTACTACAAAAGCACATTTACACAAATGAAGGCAGACTTATGTTAAAAGTGAAATCAAATACACGGAATCCAGTAGCTATTTACGCGGGAACAACAATGGCATTTTAATAAACAACAGAAATACATCACTCCTACAATCTCATGCTACAAGAAGAGAAGATCCAGGAAAACGAGGAAGTAACGCTAGATGACCATAAAGTGGACGGAATTCCAAAGGAGAAAAATAAACAGGCACTAATAGAACTTGAACTAGAACTTGCAAAATCGACAAAACGAATGGGCAAAACCAACTTAACACAACACAAAATAGAAGTTGGGGACGCCAGACCAATCAAAAGTCGCCCGTACCGCGTATGACAGAAAGAAAGGCAGATTATAGACGAACAAATTCAGGAAATGCTTGATAGCAACGTTATTAGGCCTTGCCACTCTCCTTGGGCCAGTCCAGTGGTGCTAGTGAAGAAAAAGGATGGGAAAACCAGATACAGAAAATAAACAGTGTAACAAAAAAATCAACTCACCCACTGCCTCAGATCGACGACATCTTGTCATACCTAGGCAATGCAAAATGATTCAGCAGCCTCGACATGTTGGCAAGTTCCAGTAGAGGAAAGTTCAAAGCAATATACAGCGTTTGTGACAGAAGGGCATGGAATCTACGAGTTTAACGTACTAAGTTTTGGGTTGTGCAATGCCCCAGCAACCTTCCAAGAACTTGCGGATCAGGTCTTCTGGGACATGAAATGGAAAGAAGTGCTAATTTACCTGGATGACATCATCATATTTTCCCAAACTTTCGAAGATTTTGCATCAATAGCCAGACCATTGCATGAAGTAACAAAGAAAGGCATAGGCTACAAATCCAGGGGTACAAAGCAACAAGAAGCATTCAACACTCTCAAAGAAAAGCTTGTCTCTGCACCAGTACTAGAGCATTTTAATCCAAACAAAGATACTATCCTACACACTAACGCAGCAGACTAGGTCCAGTGCAAACTATCTTTATTGGGAGACGTCCTTCTAGACCTGTCTCAAACCCAGCTTCACTCCTCAGTCACGCCAAGTGTACAGAGGGTACATAATACAGAGTGGCCTATAAGTAGTACGTCCCTCCATAGAAGAGACGTCATGATACTATTTCTAGGGTAATATTAATATTATTCAATACATTATCTCATTATACCTATACCAAGCGAGTTTCTCTCTACCTGAACCCCACCTACGCCCTCAGGCACGCTCCTGTTGTGACGTCCCAGGACGAAACGTATAGGGGTTGTGACAATACCTGCAATGGATAATAAAAATGCTGAAAAGCAGAATCATTAATTCAGAAATTGGTGACTATACTATAAGGAAAAAAACAACAAGAGGAACTCCACAAGGAGGAGTGATATTTCCACTTTTGTAGCTGTTGGTAATCGATAAAAACCTTTAGAAAAAGGAGGATAAAATTGAATGCCTACGCTGACGACGTAGTAGTACTGGTGAGTGACTTCAGCTTATCAACCATCAGTAAAATCATGCAACAGCATTGAAAAAACTCTCCAGATGGGCAGAACAAAACGGATTGGGAGTAGATAACCCTCAAAAAAACAAATTAGTCCTGTTCTCAAGAAAATACAAAATCTCTAGTTTTACAGTGCCGACGATTGGGGGACAAACTATTGAAAAAGCAGCAAGACTATTGCTGAGGCAGGACAATCAGGATCAGGAACAGTAATGACGGTCTAAGCTGGGTGTAAGAACATAGTAATATTGGAGGAAACGAAATGGCAGATAGACTGGCAAAATTCAGAATGAAAAAGGTCCAAGCTGAAACAGACAACTCATTACAACCAACGTTCAAACTATTCAAGAAAAAAACCATAACGCAGCTGCACAGCAGAAGATGCAATCGCAATGTGGATATAGCGAAAACCAGAAAATTATTGAAACTGGATAAAAGATCAATATTAAGCACCTTAGTAGGGTAGGGCAAAGTTTCTTGAAGTACCTGGGAGACGCGGAAAAGAAAGGGAGAATGGAAATACTGAATTTCGTAAAAACCATGCACTGGCACAAAACGGAGAAACGAAGAACAGGTTAAAGATTTGGGAGGGAACCACTCTGAAAAATGGATCACAATGAGCCATTGGGCCTCCGAGTGCAAGCTCCACAGTTGTAGGGCAAACCCTTCAAAACTGTCAATTAAAAAATGATGAGTGCTTAATTTAAAGCTGATTATACATATTTGGATTATTTTTAAATTTAAAAACTAAAATAGAGGCTTCCCCTGGAATACCTGTATCGTCATTTATATATTAATCTATTGTATTTAGCTACTTATGAAATATAAATCGATATAATTGATTTGAGTACCCATTGATTATTTCATATTTATCTATTCAAGTGCCTTGAGATACTTTAAAATTATGACAAAATACCTATCTATTAGTATCGTCTGGACTCTAGTAGTTACTAAATATGGATTATATAAGTGGAAATTCGAAGAGTGAAAATTATAATCCTAGGGAAACTGCTAGTATTTTTTCTTTAGCAACTTTCTTGTAAGTTATTTTTGAATTCCAGCCATTTTGTACATTCAACTGACAAATTTTCAGCTACAATTACGGAATTTTAAAAAAAGGCAAGAAAAAAGACATAGAAGAAAAAGATATTTTCAGAGTTTTGCCGCAATTTGAAGCTGAAAGCTTAGGAGATAAACTCGAATATAAATGGAAGCAAGAGAAAAAGCGAAGCAAAAATGCTTCTATCGCAACTTGCTTAACAAAATGCTTTGGTTGGACTTATCTTTGCTATGCAGTGGTTCAATTGACTTTTAGTACTGCTGTAATGTGAGTTAAAATTTATTTAAATTTCAATAATGATAAACTATTTATTTCAGATTGCTAACTCCATTAACCTTCTCAAAATTCGTTGCATATTTTGAACCAGGCCAAACGTCTCTAACCACTCGAGACGCCTTTAAATATGCGTTTGCAATTATTGGACTCAATTTATTCAACGTTTTTTACAATAACCACTTTGTACAATTAGTTATTGAGTATTCTATGAGAGTACGAACAGCTGTGTGTTCCTTAATATATAGAAAAGCTTTGAAATTGAGTCCTATAGCTTTGGGAGATGTCTCTATTGGCAAAGTGGTAACACTTATGTCGAAAGATGTTTTATCAATCGATTCAGGATTGATGTTTTTGAAAGATGCGATTATTGGATTGTTACAGTTAGCTGTCGTTAGTTATATTTTATATCAGAAAGTTGGAGTTTCTGCTTTTCCGGCTGTAGGAGTTATATTGGTCATTATACCGATTCAATGTAAGAGGTTGCATTTTACTATTTTTAAAAAAAGTCTATTTTATCATTTTAGTGTTCACTGGTAAGAAAACTATGGACTGCCGTATAGAAACTGCAAAGAAAACTGACTCAAGATTTAAATTACTACAGGAAACTTTAAGTGCAATCAAAATAATCAAAATGTACACCTGGCGGGATTATTTTGAAAAGCTTATACATAAAGCAAGATTGTAAGTAGAACTTGCGTGTTGTATATCAAACACTGATTGATTATTCTAGGATAGAAACTGATAAAATAAAAATAGTCTACTACCTAAAAGCCTTCATAGTATCCCTTGGAGGTAGTGCCATTAACATTGCGTTCTACGCCCTTATAGTTTCATACATAGCAACAGGAAATAATGTCGATGCTGAAACAATATATTATGCCCAAGCCTGTTTGGGTACAATTAGAATGTCTATTGCTTTATCCATACCATTAGGAATTGCACAAGTGTCTGATATGATAGCAGCTTTAAGCAGAATCCGAGCTTTTTTGAGTAAGTAGCATAATTTGTGAAAGGTGTAAGCCAAAACGATTCATGAAAAGAAAGCTAGACGCATAATCTGGAATCTGGGAGCTCACCATTAGATAAAGAAGGGTTTGTGTTTGTACGGTGGGATTCTATACTATTCATTGCAATAATCGCTAACTCTAGTCATATCTTTTCTTGGTAATAATATATCTGTATTAGTATCATATTATTTTAGACGCAAAGGAAATAAAGAAGCCTTTAAGAAACCCAACTAAAAACCCGAAATTGCATTTAAGTAACGTACAAGTAGTCATCAACAATAAAGAAATATTAAAATCCGTATCACTAAACATTACCAATCAAGGTTTATTATTGATCGCTGGAAATGTTGGTAGTGGCAAAAGCGCTTTACTTAAAACCATTTTGGGTGAATATCCAGTATCTGAAGGCGACCTTATTACTGAAGGAACTTTTTCTTACGCCACAGAGGAGCCTTGGCTATTCCCTTCGACAATAAGGCAAAACATTCTATTTGGACAACCATTTAATGAAAGAAAATATCAGGAAGTCCTGAATATGTGTGCGTTAACTTATGACATAAATCAGTTCGATAAAATGGATCAAACTATTGTTGGTGATAGGGGGATTAATTTAAGCAAAGGCCAACAAGCGAGGATTAGTTTGGCAAGAGCTATTTATAAGGACAGCGATATTTATTTAATAGATGATTGTTTGTCTTCAGTAGATAACCACGTAAATAAGCACATATTCAATGAATGCATCAGAAAATTCCTCAAGGAAAAAATTTGCTTATTTGTGACGAATAATATCAACAATATCAAAACCGTAAATAACAGTGATATTTTGTTTATTGAAAATGGTGCCACATTAACTTTGGATCAACAACGTGATGCTTTGGATAAAAGAATCACTTATTACATAGACGAAGATAATATCGACAATAAATGGAAAGAATCTATGAGAATTAGTCAGCTCAATGATGAAGAATCAATTAGTGAAGATTTCAATGAAATCGATAATTTATTAGAATCAAATGGACATTCAACATTGGATGAAAATTTGTATCATGAAACAAAAAAAGAAGGAAAAGTACTTTGGAACAATTACGTCCGCTTTTTTAGATTTATTGGAGGTATTTTTGTAACCATTTATATGCTTGTTGTTTTTGCAGCAGCACAGTTTTGTGCATCGTACTCAGATAAATTGATAAGTTTATGGTAAGAATTTCAATCAATAAGTATTAAAATTCAAAATAATTACTGTTGTTCTTTGTTAGGGTGAATTTAGAACCAAAAATAACCAATCTGACTCTTCACAATCTAACAAACACTTCAGATTATCAAGAAAGTATAAAGTCTCGAGAACAATTTTTCAACATTTACACAATCCTCACAGTGGGCATGCTGATTATGTTTCTACTCAGATCATATTCAAGCTTCTTTTTTTGTATGAATGGAGCTAGAAAACTGCATAGAGCTATGGTCAAGTCTATGCTGAGTGCCTACATGTATTTCTACGACGATCATTTTATTGGGAATATAATTAATAGATTGTCGAAGGATTTTCATATCATAGACGAGTACATTCCGTTCCTCGTCTTCGAATGGTATAGAGTAAGTTCAATTTAGGCTTTTAATTTTTACTCATCTTAATTGTTACATTTTAGCTTTTTTTCGCTGTAGTTGGCGTCTTTATACTTGTAGCCACAGTAAACTGGACATTTTTTATACCGGCCGCATTCCTTCTAGTTAAGCTCGTCCTAATGCAAAAACTTTATCAACCAGCTGGCAGAAGTTTAAGACGACTCGAAGCTACAAGTAAGGTTTCATGTGAGTTAAGTTTCTATCTTACCAATAAAATTTACGTTTTGTAGCAAGAAGTCCTATTATTGGCTACTTAAACTCAACCCTCGAAGGTTTAGCAATAATAAGAGCTTCAGAGCAACAAAATAAACTTCAAGCAGAATTTGATAAGCATCAGGATCTTTTTACTTCAACTTCATACATGAATACGACCACATCGAGATTTTTTCAATTCGTACTTGATATTTCTGGAGTATTTTTCATGGTTGGAATTATTATGAAACTAGTGGTTTTTCCAGAGGGTAACTATTTCTATAATTAATAAACACAATATTTCAATTGATTTTATATTCAGGTGCAAAACCAGGTGACGTTGGTTTAGCTATTAGCCAAGCCACAATGCTTTCAATGCTTCTACAATACACTGTTAAACAATTAACTGAAATAGAAAATGTTATGACGTCAATAGAACGTGTTTTTGAGTATACTGACGTTAAAGGGGAACCCAAAGCTGGAAAGACACCAACCAATTGGCCTTCCAATGGAAATATTAGATTTAATGATGTTTCATTGACATATAAAACTGATGGCAAAACTGTGCTGAAGAATATTAGTTTTGAGATTGAAGGCCAGATGAAAGTTGGTATTGTGGGAAGGACTGGTGCTGGAAAGTCTTCAATAATATCTTCTCTATTTAGACTATATAATTTTGATGGGCAAATTTCTATTGACGATGAAAATATAAATGGCTTATCACTAGACTATTTAAGATCCCATATCAGCCTTATACCGCAAGATCCAGTACTATTTTCCGGCACCATTAGAACCAATATCGATCCGTTTAATAAATATTCTGATGCAGATATTTGGAAAGCTCTAGGAAAGGTTCATATGAAATCATCTGTAACCAGTCTCAATAAAATAATTGATGATCTTTCTGCAACGTACAGCTCAGGTCAAAAACAGCTCATCTGCCTAGCAAGAGCCCTAGTGCAAAATAATAAAATCATTGTCCTGGACGAGGCTACGGCCAATTTAGATCCAGAAACTGATCAGCTTTTACAGAAAACTGTGAAGGAATGCTTTGTAAATTGCACAGTGATAACTATAGCTCACAGGTTACATTCTGTGTTGTCTTGTGATAAAGTGTTGGTATTGGATGCTGGTAGGATAGTGGAATATGATGAGCCTGATACTTTGTTGGAGAATGCCAATGGGTATTTATATAAGATGGTAAAAGAGGAAAGTTGTTTGAGTCTGTAAGGCAGGCAATGATGTTCATTTAATAAATTGTGAATAAGGACTTAAAACTGTGTTTTATTTTAATGATTAAATAAGTAGTGACTTTCTGAGCCAAGCTACTATTCAACTGGAGGTTATTGCAGCAGACTCTAGAATATAGAGAGCAAATCATTTACAACTATCTTGTATCACTTCCTGAAAATTCTTGCTTAGTTGAATAGATTTACCAGAACTAATCTTCTGTCAAGACTCATAAATTTCAATTCCTCTTATTATCATTTTAATAAATATCGAGAAGACAAATCATTTATTGAGAGGTTTCAACTCTGGTGCATAAAAAGTTTCATCGGAAAACTCTAAGAACGGCTTTAGTATCTGACGTCTCTGTATTTTCCACCAGATATTTAAGGTAGATCCTCTGATGCTTCCTACAAAGCTAACTTGGTTGAAGTTTTATAAGTTAGTCAATAAGAATCACAATTTATTAATAAAAACAATTTATTTACAAAATAATCTTTATCTATTAGTCTCCAATATCTGCCCATCTTTCAAAGTAACTACCTTATCACACCATAATAAAGAGCTTGATTCATTTGCTACCATTATTACAGTGCAACTCTTAAAACTACTTTCTATGAGCTTTTTCACAAACATTCCCATATCTGTATCCAGATTTGACGTTGGCGCATCGAGAATTAGAATTTTGTTTTGGGAGATTAAAGCTCTCGCTAGGCATAGCAATTGCTTCTCACCTACGCTGTAATCCCTAATAGGTTGATCCAAATTAGATACAAATTTCTTCATTCGGACATCTTCCAAAGCCTTCCAAATATCTTCATCAGTAAATTCAAGAAGAGGATCTATATTGGTTCTAATGGAGCCAGAAAATAGTTTTGGATCTTGTGGTATTAGAGTTATCCGAGATCTTAGGCAGTCTAATGATAGAAGATTTATGTCTTCATTGTCAATTGAAATTTTTCCTTGATAATCATGAAGTCTTAATAATGTTGACACAAAAGAAGTCTTTCCAGTTCCACTTTTCCCAATAATTCCAACTTTTTCTCCACCATCGATTTCCAAATAAATATTATTCAAACCTGCTTCATTGTTAGTCAATGATACATTGTGAAACTGGATTTTTCCATTGGAGGGCCAATGTGCTACAAATTTTTCAGTTGATTTTTCTGATGCGGCATTGGAGTACTCCAGAATTCTTTCTGTTGAGGTCATAGCAATTTCTAGTTCGGTAAATTGCCTGATAGCATACTGCAGTGTTTGGGATAGAAGCATGGATTGGATGACTATTAGGCTTATGTCACCAGCAGAAGAGCCTACAGAAATAATGCTTATTTAATTAAGTTTTTCTAAATTAAATGTAAGCCTCACCTCCAAAGAAAAGTAGCAATTTCATACATATTCCCATTACAAAAAACGATGAAAATAGTTCGAATAAGAATGCAAAAAGCCTTGTTGTGGTTTGATTCATGTGATACGCTGACGTATAAAAGTCCTGATGGCGATCAAACTCAGATATTAGTTTCTGATTTTGCCTACTACTTCTGATAATTATTAGACCTTCTAGTGCTGAATTCAAATAGCCAATAATTGGACTTCTAGCTAAGAAAACAAAAAAATTAGAAGCATGAAAAACGTTTTGTTATTGTTCTGTTATACATGAAGCTTCCAGCCTTCTCAAACTCCTTCCAGTAGGCAAATAAATTCTTTGCAAGAAATAAAATTTCACTAGCAACAGAACGCCTGGTATAAAAAGCATCCAGTTAACTGAAGCAACCATGATTAGAGCACCAATAACAGTAACAATTATCTAAAAATATAAAAAACAGTGATACAAGGTTCCTTCTCAATAAAATTCTTACCCGGAAAACATCAAAAATCAAAAAAGGCATATATTCATCAAGAACATACAAATCTTTAGATAATCTGTTAATAATATTTCCAATAAAATGATCATCGAAAAACTTAAAGGATGTCTTCAGCAGTGACGTAATCAGTTGGTTATGCAAGGCTCTAGCAGCATCTAGGCAAGCATGAAAGGTCGAATATGACCTTACAATCGCAACAACCATGGCAGGTAGTAGTAGAATTAGGTAAAATTTGAAGCAATAGTTTCTGGTATCAAGTAAGTTTCGATATTCAGTGGAATTGGTGAGCCTTTGCTTCTGATGGTATGTTATATCTATTTGTGTATTTATCCTGGAAACAATTTCTTTGCTTTAATATTTATTATATGAAATTATATATTTACCACTCGACTGTTAGCTTCTCAAAATATAATAAAGCTGCTTGCGCAGTTCCGAAAGCTATTATCAAATATAAGAAGCCTAAAAATCCTCCCATGAGTTTATAGAAACTTGCATAGTTCGACCATGAAACGCTGCCAGAGTTTTTTTCTTCTTTGTAAATATTATTATTTATGGTTGATATTAATTCATCACTTTCGTTGGTACTGTCATACATCAGATCAATATTTTGGCTTATAGTAGACTGTCTAGGTTTTTGTAAATCTATTTCTTCATCAATAAAATAGGTTATTCTTTTGTCCAAACCTCTATTTTGTTGGGCTAAATTCAATGTACAACCATTTTCTAAGTGTAAAATAGTATGACCACTATACATTTTATTAGTTGCAAAAATGCAAATTTTATCTTTCAAAAAGCCTTGAATGCAATGCTTAAATATCGATGCAGCTAATTTTGAATCCAAAACTGCTAGGCAATCATCTAATAAATAAATATCACTTTCTCTGTACACAGCCCTTGCTAATGAAATTCTAGCTTTTTGACCGTTGCTTAAATTATCATTAATTAGTCTCTGGTCATCGTTAATAGCACATATTCTTGAAATTTCTCTATATCTTTCGGCATTATAAGGTTCACCAAATAAAATATTTTGCCTTATAGTTGAAGGAAATATCCATGGTTCTTGCGGGGCATAAGATACCTTACCATCAACCTCCAACTGTCCAGATTTAACGGGATATTCTTTTAAAATGGTTTTTAGTAAAATGGTTTTACCACTTCTTACAGAACCAGTTACTAAGAGCAAACCATTGCTAAGTTCAAGCGAAACGGACTTTAAAACTTCTTGTTGGTTAATGACAACTTTGACGTTGTTCAGGCGAATATTTGGACGTTTAGTTTCTGTAAAAACTTGATCATGGACTTCTTCCAATTCAAGGAAAGATTGAATCCTTTTGAAAGAGGCTAGTAGGTCAGCAGTATTGGAAATTCCTGAAAACATAAATTGTAGGTATATGGGATTTTTCAATAATCATGTATATTATACCCATTGGAATTGAAAAAGTAACGGTGGTTTTCATCATGAACAGACAATTTTGTACAAAAAACATAGTCTCGGCGTCTAATGCTTCATCAGTTGCCATATGGTAGTATAGAAATACAAAGAAAGATATGTAGATTGCAAATTCACTCATCCAGGAAATAATGGCTTTGAGGTAGTAAATTTGAGCAAGTTTGTTGATTTCTAGGCTAAAATGTACCTAACCTCTTAGAAAGGTTTTAGAAAGAATGCAAGAATCATTTTGAGTATGTTCTCCTAGTGATATTCGAGTAAGATGCTAGAAACAGAATTTTGCATAGGTACTAAATGTTGTTGTTACGTTTATGGCTTATTGGAACATGGGTGAGTTAAGTGAGCACCCCCGCCATAGAAAATAGAAAAATTTCTGGATGAAAATTATCCTATAATTTTGCTTTCATTTTGCTCCACTAATTTCGATTTTTGCTCCATTACAGTGGAGAGACTATGTGGCCTATTAGGTGGGGGGGGGGACTGAATTAACGCTAGACCCCCCCAATGAAAATTCAGAAATTTGATCATGCGCATTTTGTTCTCCGAGTTTAGCTCCATTTTGCTCCATTATCGGCGAGTTTTGCTCCATTACCAGGTGAGACCTACAGACGTCCCAAGAATCTCTCCCAGCCCCCCCAGTGAAAATTCTGAAATTTGATCATGCTCATTTTAATCTCCGAGTTTTGCTCCATTTTGTTCCATAATCGACGAGCTTTGCTCTATTACCAGGAAAGACCTACAGAGCTCCCAAAAATCTCTCCTAGCCCCCCTCCCCCTGGTAAAAATTTTGAAATTTGAACATGCCCATTTTGTTCTCCGAGTTTTGCTCCATAATCGGTGAGTTTTGCTCCATTACCAGGAGAGACCTACACCTGTAACTGATTTTCAAGCGTTCGAGTGCAAAGCGCATTGAGTATAATGGCCGTGAAATGCTCCAGGTGTTTCGCACACTGCACCCGAAAGCGGCTCTGGAATGAACTACACAGCTCCCAGGAATCTCTCCTAGCAACACGGGTGAAAATTTTGGAGTTTTTATATGTGCATTTTCTACTCCGAGTTTTGCTCCATTTCCTGGAATGACCTCTAGGGTCCTTATTCTTGAATCAGGGGAGCAGCGTTTCCATGAGAACGAGTGTTTGAGTAATTTCAAGTTTCAAAATTTTCACTGGGGGGCAAGAAGAGATTCTTTGGAGCTATGTATGTCATTCCTGGTAATAGAGCAAAACTCGCCAATTATGGAGCAAAACGGAGCAAAACTCGGAGAACAAAATGAGCATGTTCAAATTTCAAAATTTTTACTGGTGGGGGGCTAGGAGAGATTTTTGAGAGCTCTGTAGGTCTTTCCTGGTAATACAGCAAAACTCGCCGATTATGGAGCAAAACTCGGAGAACAAAATGAGTATGATCAATTTTCTGAGTTTTCACTGGAGGGGGGGGGGGCTAGCGTTAACTTAGCCCCTCCACCTAATAGACCATATAGTCTCTCCACTGTAATGGAGCAGAAATGGAAATTAGTGGAGCAAAATGAGAGAAAAATTATGGGATAATTTTCATTCAGAAATCTATGGGGGGGAGGCTAACTTAACTGACCCTTGGAACTTACCATGAGAATATTAAGAAGGATCATTCATTGATGACTGAAATAAGCATTTGCACATTTGGTATCTAACATCTAACTATATTTTTATTTACATTTAATCCCAACTTTCATAACGAAAGAACATCCCTCAATGAAAAAAACATGTCAATGTTACAAAATGGTACTTACAGTCTTACCCTGTTTATTAGCCCTTCAAAATACCCCTGCCAATTATTTATTTTGATAGTTTTTGCCGCGCTAAAAACTTCTTGCGACAATCGAAACCTTTCATCAGTCTTTTCATTCGTTTGAAGTCTTACATTTGAAGCTATTGTCCCACATAGTACTAATGGAGAAAAATCCTATTCACAATGGTTGATTGATAGAATATTGATGTACTTACATTGGATTGGTATGATCAATATAATTACTGCAGTAGGAAATAATCCAGCAATTCCCATTCTGTCATAAAGGATATAAGTTATGACAGCTAGTTGTAGAAATCCAATAAAAACATCTTTGAAAAAATTTAATGCGGCATCTATGGCAAATACGTCTTTGGTTATAAGTGTAATTATCTTTCCTAAAAATTTTAAATTATTTCCAATTTTTCAACTAGCATTTTTTTATATCGTACCAATTGTAGTTTCCGCCAAACTTATTCTTAAAGCTTTCCTAAATATCAATGAACTAACGGCTGTGCGTACTTTCAAGGAATATTCCGCTAGAAGCAGAGCCAGATTCTGTGTGAAAAATACATTCAAAAGTAAGATTCCTCCTAATGCGCCTGAGTAAAGGTAAGCGTCAAATTTTGTTACGGTTTTTGGATAATTGCCGAAATATGTTACAAATATGGACAAGATTTTGGGTTGGTATAACCTGGAAGCAAATGGTTGATGAATGCTGAATTTTAACGCAGTAGGTAGGTTATTATTTACATCACAAATGTAGCAACGAATAATTGTGAAATTGAGTACAAACAGTAAGTGGATCCGAAAGATTCCATTAAGGTCCTCCATAGTTTTTTATTGTTTTCAGTGTCCTTTTTCCATTGTTTCTCTAGTTTATCTCCAAGTTTTTCCGCTTCAAATTCGGGAAGAACTTTGAAAATATCGTTTTCTTCCAACTTCTGTTTCCTGCCTTTTTTCAATGTTTGGTAATTGTAGCTGAAATGATTATAATATGATCTTTATTGCTTGTGTACCTATATTTTGTTATAAATATGATGATAAGTAAGATTTTGTCAAGGGTAGGTGAAGTTTAAAGCTTCCATTAAACATTGCTTTTATCTAAATTACACGACGATATAATATGGTGCAAAAATATTTTTTCCTAATTTATAATTGTGTACTTTTCAAGGAATTGAAATTTGAGAACAAAATATTTATTAGGTACCTATAAAAGAAAAGAGAGTTTTTTGTTTTTTTTTTTTCATTCGCTATACAAATCCAGAGTAACGGTGATAGACGGTTGTCTCGTCATCTAAAATATGAGAATAGTAGGTACCTAAGGTACCTATTCTATAGTCAGAAGCAAAACCAAAAGTCGGGTTAACCGTCTACCCGGAAAAACTACAAAGATAGAAATGAGAATTTCTTGTTTCTTTCTCTTGGCTTTTCCGCCCAGGAAAAACTTACACCATAACATGCCTTCCGCAATAAAAAATAGTTTGAAATTGCCTATATAACAATGCAGAACTGAAACAGAAATATTATACTTACAAAAAAGTAATCACAGATAAAAAGTTTGCATTTTTCCTAGGATTCGTGTCTCTGTCTTCTACTGTATCAGAACAATCCATTTTCACGAACTTGCTTCACATAGTTAAATACGCCTTAATAAAGTAATAAGTTCCTTATTGAAATAATATTTCTGATTAGTGCAAACCTAGCAAGCAATATTTTAATTTAAGCGCAATCTATATAGTTTTGGAAAAAATACGTTAGAACTATTAGGCAATAATCGTGTTTTAGTTGTAAATGTTTATAATTATTCCTGATAACATAAAGATAAAGATTTTCAAATTCAAACTATGTATTAAAATCAAAATTGAAAACATAAATGAACTGAACCACTACATTTTTTTTCAAATAAAATTATATGTATGAGTCCGAGAATAGAAATACACTAGTTTATTTATATAGATGAATGTGTTTATTAACAATAATTATATCTGGTTTATATAGTACTGTAAGCGACTGATAATCGCTCTTATCAGAAGCACAATAAATGAATAATTAAGTGTGTATATAAGGTGTATTATAATCTTCTTGACAATAAAATTGAATAAAAATAGAGCAACTAAAAAATATGTGTACATAGTATGTACCTAATAATAATAAGAAAAAATAGAGTATTTTCATGTGATATTCTTAGGGAGCACCTAATAAGTCGATGTTACAAGAAACAAGGGTCAAATATATTATAGGTACCAATGAAGCGGCGTATTTCGTTAATGTTACGAGGAGCGGAAAGATTGATGATGGCCTCCACTTTTCAGGGTCAGGTCTTAACCCTTTGTCATCAACCAGATAACCAAGGTATTTGAGCTCGGGCCTACAAAAACTGCATTTTTCTACGGAAATAATAAGACCAGCATCACAAAAACGATCAAAAACTGTTTCTAAAAGTTTCAGATGTTCAGCGAAATTACTCGTGGTGATAACAATATCATCGAGGTAAACCATAACATTTGGTTCAAGTTCTGGACCCAAGATGGTATCCACGATGCGTTGCCAAGTAGCAGGAGCAATGGACAAACCGAAAGGCATCCTACAAAATTGAAATAAACCCCTTCCAGAAACAGTAAAAGCTGTGTATTCTCGTGAGTTTGTGGGTAAAGGTACTTGCCAGAAAGCAGACTTGATATCTATAGAGCTAACAAATCGGGTGTTACGTAGTTGGTTTAAAATAGAAGCAATATATGGAATAGGATAGGCATATTTCTTGGTGTGAAGGTTTAACTGTCTAAAGTCGATACAAAATCGAAAGGAACCATCTTTCTTCTTAGCAAGGCATACAGGGCTTGACCAGGATCTATTGGATCTTTCTATGACCCCCAATTTCAGCATTTTCTCTATTTCCTCGTCGATGAACTTCTGTTTATAGGGAGATACCGGATAATAGCGTTGCTTTATAGGCCTCGTTCCAGTTTCCAAAATTATTTCATGTTCAGCGACCTTACAGCATCCCAAACCTGAATCCATTTTTGAAATTCGATCGGGAATCAATTTACCCAGGGATTCCCTTTCAGAAACTGAAAAACGATCGATATTCTGGATACTACAAACATCGACAGAGTCAACCAGCTCACTAAAACGCCAAACATCTTGACCCATGTCAGGTATGCTTCCAAAAGTCTATTCCCAGAATCATCTTATGAGAGAGTTAGGGGAGTACTATGATGTCAATAATTTTTGTTTTAGCCATACCGATACTTTTACACACCTGACCATTAGCAACTGTGCAAGAATTAGGTTCTTTTAATTTGAGTCCCAAACCTCTAAGAATTTCGTACCCAGGTAACCCTACTAAGGTTCTACTGGCACCAGAGTCAAGCAATCCAAGCATGGAGTATCCTAAAATGTCAATTTGAAGATATGGTCGTTGATCACCAGAAGCGTGAGAGATAATATAATATAGTCTAGAATGTCAACAGAGTCGGCCGTCAAAAGTAGTTGAGAGGAAATAGGACGACCCAGCGATTCTCTCGAGGACCGTTTCCCGAATGCGAACACTTAGTACATGTTCTCACTATAACAATGGGAGCACCACAACGAAAGCAATGCGTCTTACGTGGATCTGGGCAATTCCTATTCAAATTTCCAGATTTTTGACAATTCCAACAAACTAAATCTCTTCGGACGTTCTGCTGCTGCATACTATTGACGTTAAGCTCATCAATATTATCCCTTTGACGTGGATTATCGGCTGGATTATAGATCGAGACGTTAGTAAATTCGTTAGAAGAATTCCATAGGGAGTTTGGTACCTGTACAAAGGCAAAATCTGGCTCAACCAGTCGCTGACGCTTCCTAGATGGCGGAACATAGGTACTTCTTTGTCTCTAATTTGAGGCACTCTGCCTCAAGCTCTTCAAGTGTATTAATTACAGGCAGTTGAGTTGAATAAAAGGGAGAAAGATGACGATAAAGAATGTCCAATTGAGCTACCTCAGGTAAATCCTCATACCGCCTAAACAACGCTTGCATGCAGGACATGATATATAGTCCGCAATGCTCTCAGAGGGATCTTGAGTTCTGTCCAGAATTTCTCTGGAAAGTCTTGACTTATAGTCTGAAGGCTCAAAATGCAATAAATCAGCCATTCCGTTCCAGTAGTCGCTAAACCATGCCTTATTGGCTCTAAACCAATTCAACGCCCGACCCTCGAATAAATCTATAGCTGAATCGAAAAGCTGTTTCCCAGTCACGTGACGTGCTACTCTGAGTTCAGTAACTGTTTCCAGGAAGTTATGTAAAGAGAACTTTTTACTATCTCTAGAAAATTTGATATTCCACTCTTGAATTTTTATTAGGTGGCTGAGAAGTCTGAGGAGGAAGACAAGTTTGAAGCAGGTTGAGACGAGTTGAATTATGTTGAGGTTGTGGAGGGTGGTTGTCTCCATTTAACTCAGTGAAATGGCGACTGAGCTTGCCTAGACGCATCTTCAAGGGAGTCCAATGATGCCAAGATTTCAACTAGAAGCATAGAAACAGGAATTCGTGTAGCTCGGTGAAGGAGATGAACAAGTCGAGATTGAATCGAAAAACATTTATTCTGAGCGCTCTCGCCAGAAAGGGTGCGAACAGCACTATTTGCTTCAGTGAGGAAAGCACGAATTTGAGTTTTTTATCAGAAAACTTTAAACTATAGGGTGGATATGTGAAGCTACCAGTCTTTTCCAGTTTAATCAGAGGATGCAAAGCTGACTTTAACTTTTCGACAGTTTTGGAGTCATCCACCGTCACACCACGGACAATAAATTCGTAAATTAAGATCTCCTTCCAGAAATATGAAATATTCATTTTGTAATCCATATTACCACAAATTAACTGACTCTATTAAAATGTAACCAACAACAATAATAATAACCAAGGAAGAAAAAAAAATTCTTTTTAAAAGAAAAATCCAGTTGAGAAGTAAATAATAGTAGTAAAAGGTGATCAAGGTCGGATAAAAAAAAATTATAATAATTTAGTGAAAATATAGTGTCCTCCAAAGTAATAATTATGGTAGAGAAAATTTGTAAACAAGGAAGTTTTATTCCACTTCGTCCTTAATTAACCCACAACTTTTCTCTACCATAATTATAATAATTGTTTTATATTAGCGTAAAACACCTATGCTGCTTTAAATTAGGTACTGAAGGCAAGAAAGATACTTGGCTCCATGCAAACTCCAAACCCAATTTCAGGATATTAAGTATATATTATCTTCAATGATTTAGGAAAAAAAAATAATAAACGCAACCAACCAGCGCCTTTTTGCTTTTCGCCCCACGTTGGGCGCCAAGAAATTTGTAACTCTAAATCCAGCAAGTCCCCAATTTGCAGGTGAACGGCTGATGCAATGAACATTTAAGGCAATTGAACGAAAAGCCCAGATAAAAAAACCCTGGGGAAGAAACATTATTGTAGATCCCCATTTTAAAAGACTAATAATTAAAACTTTGAGAGTCAATAAATCCAGGAAAGCACATTTTTCTATAGGTACTTGAATTATTCCCGATCTACTGTCTTCCATTAAGGCATGATGTCCATAAATAATATATAATCACCTGTAGTAGCAGGGTTTTAGTTTGTCCAGGTGATGGTCGGATGACAGAAAGAGAACAACCACAAGAAAAAGCAGGAACCAGCGATCAGCTAAATAAGCAAAATCAGCATAAAGGAATGCCACAAGGTAACACTGGAACCAGCAACAGACTTCTCTCTATAATAGATGGATAAAAATCCGATTGGGGATCAAACCGCCACATATGGCTTGATTCAACTTACCAGTCAATCAAGTAATAAAATCCTGAATTATCAGAGTAATCGTGACACCAAAAGGTAACAAAACGCACTAAAACTAGGCAGATAAATACCACGATTATTATTATTTATATATCAGGGCGAAAATCCCATAAAATGGTGCAAAATTAAATAAAAATGCAAAACTTAAATCACCCTGAACCAGCCTCGAAAGCGAGTAAAAGGAAAGTGCCAAAAGCAAATGTCTCCTTCAGCAAGTTGAACCCATTGGTTGAACCCTAGAGGTTGAACCCAATCAGCAATCAATAAATTGCATTAGAGAGGAACTGTCTGAAGTTAGGTAAAGTAGTGATAAGTATATTTAAACCACACACCTGGGACCTTATTATTGAGATAGGGGAGCAGCATTCCCAGGAGAATGAGTGTTTTATCTTTGTTCCTTATATTGTCACTTGCATATCATTGAGAAAGACGGAACACTTGTTCTCCTGGGAACGCTGCTCCCCTGTTTCAAGAATAAGGACCCTGGTAGAGAAGTAGACGACATAAATCTCAATGCTATCAACAACAATCAATGAAATTATAATATAAAACAATACCATTCACATTAATTTAAATTAGGGTTTTATAAGCAAAATAAATCGATCAATATCGATCACTATCGATCGAATCCGTACAGAATCTCGATATAGATAAATATCAGTAAATTGCTGTCACCAATTATTGTGCGCTGCGGAAGCAGGAAATGACAATTTGAAAAAAAAAAATAGATTTCTTTAGGTACCAGTTAATCAAGGGTTTGTGGTAGAAATGCGAGAGGGAGTTAGAGATCATATTAATAATACAACATATTTAATAATATAGACTCTTTGCACCTCTTATTTTGCCATTCTGCTGTATGTATGCGCTGTAGTAAAAAAATATTCGTTTTACTTATCAACCACAACAAGCGGCGTTATTTAAGAAGGTCTAACCTTGTGCTTATACCTATACCTATGGTTATGGTAAAACTGTGTGGATGCCACATTTAAGAAAATTGAATAAAGGTAAAAGCACCACAGGGAATTAATTAGCTGTCCTAGATTTGAGGAATAGGGATGGGGCAAGGTAAACGACAGATGTCAAAAATTATCAGAGAAAAATGACAACAGCTGACGACTAATGACAAATAATAACAGGTGATTATCCTCTTGAACAATCATAATTTGAAAAATACGACGAGTAAGCAATCCGTGTTCAAAACGTAAGCGCTTACGAAAACGAAACGCAACGTAAGGCAACTAAATGTAGTATAAATTCAATAATTGAAAATATTAAAGTCAAAATCCCTCAAAAGGCGAAGACAAAGTTTAACTTCTTCAGAAAAACCTTTTTCTCGGAAACCACCTAACGTGAAAAAAGAAAAGCACCACAGGGAATTAATTAGCTGTCCTAGATTTGAGGAATAGGGATGAGGCAAGGTAAACGACAGATGTCAAAAATTATCAGAGAAAAATGACAGCTGACGACTAATGACAAATAATAACAACAAGTAATTATCCACTAGAACAATCATAATTTGAAAAATAAGACGAGTAAGCAATCCGTGTTCAAAACGTAAGCGCTTACGAAAACGAAACGCAACGTAAGGCAACTAAATGTAGTATAAATTCAATAATTGAAAATATTAAAGTCAAAATCCCTCAAAAGGCGAAGACAAAGTTTAACTTCTTCAGAAAAACCTTTTTCTCGGAAACCACCTAACGTGAAAAAAGAAAAGCACCACAGGGAATTAATTAGCTGTCCTAGATTTGAGGAATAGGGATGGGGCAAGGTAACGACAAATGTCAAAAATTATCAGAGAAAAATGACAGCTGACGACTAATGACAAATAATAACAACAAGTAATTATCCACTAGAACAATCATAATTTGAAAAATAAGACGAGTAAGCAATCCGTGTTCAAAACGTAAGCGCTTACGAAAACGAAACGCAACGTAAGGCAACTAAATGTAGTATAAATTCAATAATTGAAAATATTAAAGTCAAAATCCCTCAAAAGGCGAAGACAAAGTTTAACTTCTTCAGAAAAACCTTTTTCTCGGAAGCCACCCAACGTGAAAAGAGAAAAGCACCACAGGGAATTAATTAGCTGTCCTAGATTTGAGGAATAGGGATGAGGCAAGGTAAACGACAGATGTCAAAAATTATCAGAGAAAAATGACAACAGCTGACGACTAATGACAAATAATAACAGGTGATTATCCTCTTGAACAATCATAATTTGAAAAATACGACGAGTAAGCAATCCGTGTTCAAAACGTAAGCGCTTACGAAAACGAAACGCAACGTAAGGCAACTAAATGTAGTATAAATTCAATAATTGAAAATATTAAAGTCAAAATCCCTCAAAAGGCGAAGACAAAGTTTAACTTCTTCAGAAAAACCTTTTTCTCGGAAGCCACCCAACGTGAAAAGAGAAAAGCACCACAGGGAATTAATTAGCTGTCCTAGATTTGAGGAATAGGGATGAGGCAAGGTAAACGACAGATGTCAAAAATTATCAGAGAAAAATGACAACAGCTGACGACTAATGACAAATAATAACAACAAGTAAAGTCTGTTTTTTTTTTAAGATAATAGACCGATCTCCTATTACCTGGACTGCGCGCATCGCTTGTAGGCTGCAGGTGAGCGTCCAATGAGAAGCAAGTTCATGACAGGCTTGCGTCATATTCTTATTCAGGGGCCAGTTCAGAATTAATCGTTTCTTCTTCCTTTGTAACGTGTAATCAGACAAAGAGCAAACTAATACTTTACGAATTACTTGAACTCACCGCAGTGTCGTTTAAGATTATGTTAGATTATACTTGACATATTCCTTTGCAATTTCATTGTGCGATGTTGCCGGATGAAACATTTATCAAAATAAAAGTGCAAACGATGTTAACATACACTTTAAAGCTCTTTTTTGTCTGATTTGAGGCGCTGTAAAACACTTGACACTATATCACTTCTTTAATGTTATAATGTTCGATTCGTATTGTCTACATTTGTTCTGCAACAATACAATCTGGCTACACTGCAGCCACGAGTTGCGCGCGCATGTTATCTTTTATCACTTTCTAACTAGTATTTATTACAATTAGGATCTCTTTTTCTATTTATGCGAGATAGGTCTAATAAAATCATCTGAAATTCTGAAAAAATAAGCGTGGATTATCATTTTGATGTTATGAAATTGGTTTACATCCGAAGGCGCAGGCGCAGTTCATGGTTCAGAGGCAAAATGGAATAACGGAAATATGTAAACGTTTAGCGTTGCAAAATCTCTGATTTTGGAGGTCGTGGTAATCGTTATCGTCGATAAAGGTAACCATAACTGATCCAAAAACTGCTGTTATTTTAAGGGGTGCAGAAAGTCTCTTATATTTAATAGTCCAGGTAAAAATGCAGTAAAGACGTGAAATGATTACATTTCGAAAAAAAAAACGATGCCACTGAACCTGTTTCCGGAAAATTGTCTGATAACTTTTGTCTGATAACTTCACATCATAGGTCGATTGGCATGATACCTACATACTTATCAAAATAAAACAAAGCCTAATTTTTCTTTTTTATTAATGGGAATTATATTTAATTAGGTATAACAATGACAAAAAAATTTCTTTTGGAAATTTGGCACACAGCAAAGGAAGGTCTTACATAATATACTGTCCACTTGTGTCGTAAGACTGCTACATTCAAAAAAAATTATCTTGTGCAGCATTTAATTTTTTCTTTTATGATATGAGCAGGCAAAGTATTATCTTTTCATAAGAGCTTTTTGAATAATTAACTTAGTTTAAAAATTTACAGTTTGAAGAGATTTTGGCACATCTTGACTCAAATTGTTTTCGTATGATTTTATTCAAGATAATTATTGTGTTTTACAGTAGGTAATTTATGTATTGATTAGTGCCAAAATCTCAAAAAGTTTATATAAACACCTCTTCCTATCAACAATATAAATAACAAATTCAATATACTAAACGTACAAAATGTAATAAAAACATTTAAATAAATTTATTTTCTTGCCTTACAAGTATAGTACCGATTCGATAAATATTTAAAAACGTCCATAAGGATTTTTATTATATAATTTTGGTTTTTGGAAAATTCGTATCTTAACAGAAAAAATGTACAAATCCTATAGGGTAACATCATTTTTATTTTTTTTTCAAATCTTAATATAAAGTAGCAATAGTACCTAAGCAATGTACAATTATATTTTGAAATGCACTTTGAGCCATAAGTAGGTAATAAAGCAAATAAATAATGATGCTTGTGAAGTTTTCATTTTCACAAAGTGCATTTCTCAAACCTTAAATTACTTGGTCTTTAGGGTTAAAATTTAACCACTAAGGTACTAAATGAAACATTAAAGTTATCTTTAATTAGGCAAGCTGTTGGCATGTAGGTATCTACTTTCAATTTGAGGTGAAATTTGTGGACAATAAATTTTCAACAAAATTACTAATAAAGTGTTTCTTTTATTGTTTTAGTAGGATTTTCACAAAAAATAAAAAAAAATACAAAGTTTAGCTATTAATTAGAGATAACTTAATTTAACACTTTTTGTTTGAATTTAAATTTTTTTGTACTAGAAGACATGCGTGAATGTGGAGCAATAGAGGATAGTCTCCAAAAAGTACTTTTTGCTTAGCTAAAATGACTAGCTTAAGGAAAACTGTAAAAACTATTTTAGGAAAAACAAATCAGGGTACCTATCTAAGATTATTAAATCTTTTGAAAATTCCAGCAATAATTATCTTAGTAAATTGTACAAGAACTATTTCAGTTTGCTTTGATCTAATATGATCGGAAAGTTGCGTTTTAGAAGTATTTTTTTTTTACCAAAGGCAATTGCAAAAATATAAACATTTCATTATTATTATTGGTCCTTTTGTATGTATTGTTTACACAATTTTAAGATTAAATAATATAATGAATTTGACAAGAGCTGAACATGCGATACACTTTTGAACTTTTGGCTTTGCTCTAACTAAACGAAGCTAAAGAAAGCTAAAAGAAAATTGCATCAAATTTCTTTTCTTAAAATAATTGTAAACCATACGTACAACGTAAAACACAATTATTGATATTTTATTTTAAGTCTTATTACCAATTAACCAAAGATTATTATTTACACTATAGTTAAAAATTTACATTTAATTGAATAAGTCAATAGTACCATGTTTGTTTCGACCAGCGGAATTCTTAAAGCTTTTTTTTTTTTGGAGAAATATTATTTATTTCAGTTTAACTTTATTTTATTTTGGAATTTGCTAAGATATGTTTTCTCCGTCAATATAAATGACAATAAAAATTCCGCCATTTTATATTCTATATACAAATTGTTTTTCGAACACATGATTCTATGTATTAATGACTTTTTTTTTTTTGAAGCACCATTAAATCCGTCTGCAAAACATTTATAGGAGGGCGAAATTTGACCCTATGGTTTCTATGACGTCTAGGGCCGAGTCCTATATATATTTTTTTATTTTTACAAAAAATTATGTCAAAAATTCAACTCACTTATGCTGGTATATTTGACTCAGCAATTAAAATGTTGATGAAACAGTCTATCTAAGATTTTAAGTACTATATTGGCAAGCTACAAAGAATAAATAATCATGACAGAGCCACAATAATTAATATTGTACAGCTTTGGCACTTAGGGGAAGACTGAAACAAAATTTGTCATTATAATAAATTGAAATTATTTTTAATTATTTATTCTAGATACAAAAGTACCCGTAATTTATTATTTTTTTTTTTGGTAAATTTTATAATAACAATTATTATAATTTATTTTATCAATCAATTTCCCATATGTCTTTTTTGTTAAAAACTGTTTAGTCAAGCCTTATTAATTGGCAATAAAATATAGATTTATGATATTTTTTGGCACGCACACAAGAAATACTGTTTTCGAAAAAAAAAAGACAATGAGAAACTTGACATCACACCTAAGTAGTTAATAATTATGATAGAAAACTCCCGAATAAATATTTTAAATTTTTTTTTAATGTTTGTTTTTAGTTTTGTTGTGGCAGTCAACGATCGTTTTATGAGAAAAACGTCCTTCGGTTTTGAGGAAAATTCACTTAGAAGTTTATTTGCTTTTCACTTTGAGAGGGTAGAGCGTACAGCGAGAATTTTAGTTCATATAATCTCTTGATTTTAATGGGGAAATATAAAAATGTAGCTTGAATGCTCGAGTTATCAATTGGAATAGGTAGGTACTTGCTTGTTTAAAGGAACATCCAAATTCCAAATATTCTAAAAATATATTATTTAATGGCCATAATTTACTTCAAGATTTGAGCCAAATTGTACTAATGTAATTTGAGTTTTTCTAAAAACAAGAATATCCAGGCGAGGTCATAAAGTAGTTTTCCTGCTTTTAAATTTCTTTATTAAACCTACATGTCTTTTCCAAAACTGTTCTGTTTGATAGAAAGATTCTATGGAAGTGCACAAGAGTAACTGTTCTTCACTTTTACTGATCCTTGATCTTAAGGACAAGTGGTGTCAGTGCAGATTTAAGCCACTTTTAAATTATAAAATTGAAAGTTCTCCTTGAAAAAACGGCAGTATGCTGGATCAAATAAATTAAGATATACATGGATTCAAACAGAAATAATCCTCCGCTTAAGCCAGACCATCAAGTAAATTTTATAGAATTATCACATGTATGCCCTATCTACAATGATACCTTTTGTTTCAGGCTTTACCATTACTTTATCTTCAATTCATTTTGATATCGTCAGGTATATTTGTCGTAATTTGACTTTTGTGGAAACGACTCACAAAGGTTTGACACGAGTTTGACCCATTTGAATCTTTGGTAGTTGCTGTGAATTAGTGGAAAAGCTCCTGGTCCCTTTTTTTCTTTGAAGGTGAACTAACTTTTTTCTGGATGGTGCCGCTATATAGTTAGGGATGGAATTAGGAAATTTGTGTGGAATTGGAGGTGCTGACGATTCAGTTCAGGGCATATGATAGATGCAGCCTGTATAAATTTGACTAAATATCTCTCCTATTTCAACAGTTTCTTCCAATCCAGAAATCCTTTACATTGCACCCAGTATTGAGAAGCCAAGGATGAATTTTATGTAATAAAGTCTATCTGAAAACATGGCAAATATCACTGTTGAGCCAGATTTGTCTAAGTAGGTATCTCTCTCTCCTCAAGTTTATTCAGTTTATCTTAATTCTTTTTTAGAATAAATCCTCCACATTGCAGTTTGTATTGAGAAAGGAATTCATCCCATCAGTAAATGGTAAAATTTGCTATTGAGCCAGATTTTTATATTTTCTCAATTGATTCATCCTGTTTCTTTGAAGTATCAGAAATAGACGGATTGGAAAAATGGGATCCCTTGGCCACTGAGATTCCCAGATTTAACCCACCTTGATCTAAAAAGTAAGGTTTTTCAAAAGCCAATCAATGAAAACTTGAAACGTCAAATTATTTCAAGAAATTATCTTCTCCTGAAACAATCGAACAAGAAATCCGAATTCAAACATCAAGTTGGTAGAAATGCAGAATTTTTCAGACAGTATTCTTGATAAAAAAGAAACGGTTTTTGAATGCCTACCTAATTATTTTATTCCAGAATTTATGACCCCACTCTCACTGTATACAGGGTGGTCCATTTAACTTGAGCCAGTTTTATTATTATGTCGAAAACGACGCGGTTTTGAAAAGAAATGTTCAAATAGAAATTATATTATGGTGTCATGGGAAAAAGAAAATGGTAGCACTGATTTTTAATTGTGATAACTTTTACTTGAAGTTTTGTTTTCATAAACGCGCCATTTTCGAGACATAAGTTAAATGCATCACCTTGTATAATACAAGTAACTATAAGAATTATTTCACTGTATATTTTTTGCCAATTTGATGTCCATTCTATCTGTACACTCTCATCCCATAAATATAGCATAGCCATGTTTCACTAACAACCGAGCACACCAAATGACGGAGTAGTCCCCAATTATCTTTCTGGGCGGTTGTCTATTGTAATACAGGGTGTCGCGCTCCAGCCGTCACGCAACGAACTGCACCATGAGGGAGGGGTGCGCGTGCCATGCGTGCGGCAGCGCGTCCAGCCGTTAAATGATGCTCTCCCGGTTCCTGTCCAATTCGTCCTGATCCAAGGAGCTCGTCGAACGGGAACCGCAAATTTGCATCTCGATTTCCGCTAACCTATTAAAACAAAAATATACAGTTAACGTCTTTGTAGTGTTACACCCTGTATGATGGATGGTTAGGGAAATTGTGTACAATTATGAAACACTCCATGATGATTTGATATGTGTTTTTGGAAAAATGAACAATTCTATTAGGATACATCCGTACGTAATATACAGGGTGTCACGAAAGGTTTGCTCCCAAATTTTGACACGTGACTGGATCAGACAATTTCAATTTACATATCACGTGCCTGTCAAGATTTCGGAGCAAATCGACGAAAAAACTGACAATCACGGCTAGAATTAACTCTACAGTCTACAGCCGTCTATAATCTGACTTAACGTTTTTCGAAAAAATTCTGAATGGACAAGTTTTACCGGAACGACCGAAAACAAATCTACCGAAACGACTTATAAAAGTTGTTAAAAGTTTTGAAGATTTAGAATGATGATCTATTTTACCTAACATCTCCTCAACTGATAAAAAAATTTCTTTTAACAAATTTGTTTAGAGTTGTATAGGTAATCTACACATGTCCGGATTTTGTCACTTTTTTTTTTGGTTTTTTCTCAATTATTTCATCATTCACTAATTTATTCAATTTTTGTCTTGGTACACATTTTCAGCTAATTATATATTGTACCCAAAATCTTCAATGCTTTCAATGCCTCTAGATAAATTTGAGTATAATTCATTTAAGTATCGTTCATAATTACTTACTTCTATAATTTCAGGTAACAACTTACCGATGTTCCAACTCCCACTGTTGCTGACTCAACTTAACGCTCATAGCTGCATTCTCGGATTCAACTGTTTGAAGTCGCTCCCTCAATCTTTTAATTTCCGTTTCCAGAACCTCATGGGATGATATTAGGGGCGTGGTTCTTCCTGATACCAGTTGCGTCATACTCTCTCCACCATTTATTATTGCGCCTAAAAAAAAAATATATATATATCTAGAATGCCGAAATTCTCAGGCCCCTTATTGGGCTATTTGCCTTTATCTTCCAACTTAGGCCACTTTCTTAATCTCTTGACCGTTTCGAGGGCTTTGAGGCTTAGAGCTTGCCTCGCCGGTTGAGAAGCTTATGGTAAATTGTTACAACAAACAATGATACGAAATTCAATTTCATTTAGAACTTAATATACTTATTTGAGTTGTATATATTTATTTTATATAGACGGTATTTTTGAAAACATTGAGCGCATATTTATATGACAACATCTATATGAATTTGTTACTTTAGCCAATAAAAAAGCCTCAACACTCATCCGCCAGGCCAGGATCATCACTAAACTAATCTAACAGGACCTGTGAATCCAGAAAATATACGAATACACAATAATAAACTTCACATATATTACCAGAATATTCAAGGATTAAGAACAAAGCTGAAATCACTAACTTGCAACTCTTCAATAAATTATTACGATTTAATTATGCTTACTAAAACCAATCTATCAAACACCATTTCCAATGCTGAATTAGGGCTGGACAACTACATTGTCTTCAGAAAAGACCCATCCAGAAAGAAATCAATGGGAGGCACCTTGATTGCTATTCACAAGTCACTGCCTTGCTATGTTGTTCCTACAAATCCAAAGCTGGAACAAATATTTGTATGTGTTGGACAAAGAAGAGCAGAATACATAATTGAATGCTTATACATTCCTCCAAACTCCCCAAATACCACCTACCTGATGGTAAGTGAATCCATTGATTTTATTCGAAACAAATATCCTAGTGCTGAGCTTTACATTGCTGGTGATTTCAATCTACCACGAATTGAATGGAACCTTATCGAAGATTGCTCCATTGCTCTGCCTCGGACTGATCTCTACTTGTGACCTATTGGTACAGTGTCAGATATGTGCGCATATAATAACCTTTTCCAATTAAATCATGTTTTTAATTTTAACAATGCCATATTAGATTTAGCAATATGTCACCCACTAGTGAAAATAGACAAACATCACCCACTTCTACATTTTTACCTTAAATATTCACATAAGAAAATAAACTCTATCAGTCCGCAAGCAGAAACTTTCTATCATGACTTCAAATCCGTTGACTATACTCTTGTTAACAACTATCCGGTTTTTTTTTATAAAATTTTGATGAGCTCTAGCTTAAACATACAAGATATGGTACAGCAACTCTCATAGCCTACCCTCCAACATCTCCCTTGACAATGTAACATGTGTGAAATGGGTGTGGATGCAGCCAACCTTTTTGCAAACTACTTCGGATCAGTATACTCTCAAAATCAACCAAATTCTACTAAAGAAACCTCCCTGAATAATATTGTTCTATGTAGGATAATAGGGCATCTCCCTTCGGTTAATTAACAGTCGCACCTGGAACAGGGAAGTCAAGCAATGACCCCAGTTTACTTTTTTTAGCATTACTTACTCATTTTGACTTTCTTTTCAAAAACCGTTTAGGACTTTTATTTCACGTGTTTTTTCAACCCGTAGACATAAAATTTGTTAGGATTGGTAAAATCTTTGACCTTCGCCAGACGTTTTTATTACGCGTACAGTCATCGGCGAGATACAAGAAGATGGCCGATGTCAGTTTTTTTAATTTGATTGATATAGTTGCCTATAATTTCTACATTCTTATTATACAAGCCAATGACAATTGGGCAAGAGATAATCTAAAACAAAAATCTAGGAAAAAAGTTCTTCTATAAAATGCTTAGGCAAGCTGTTGTGTCAAATTGATATGGGTAATCGCTCAAGCTATAGAGGACTTCAAAATAAATATATAGCTACTTTGAAAATTAGTTTTGAATAAGATACTGAATTTTTTCACTTTTTTTTACAAATCACGTACCCGGTGAGTCGCTAACCCCCCTGATCCGAATTCAAGAAAACCTGGGGTCAGTCGCTAACCCCTCTGTTCCATGTTCTCCGGGTACCCAGTTAGGGTCCCAGTGCGACTGTTCAACTCAATCGTCTTCCAAAAAAGGTGGATGGGCTTTAGGAAAATCATTGATCACATTACATTTGAATAACATCGCAAAATGAACGAATTATTGAATTATTAATTCGTACGTACAAGGAACTGAAACCCATTGAAGGTCAATGTAAACGACAGTTCACCGGTAGTTATTGTAATTAGCAATCACGCACCATGGTCGCTCGACTAACATAAAATAAGGGGTTTTGGAAGATGAGGGGACAATTCTCCATCTGTAGACTGTATACAAACCTTAACATCTTTAACACCATAACATAATAATGAAACTTTCGACAGCTGAACAAGTTTGCCAAAAGTTTCTTCTCAATCTGAGCATAATTTGCTTCACTTTTTGTTAGACTTCTCGAAGCGAAGGCTACTGGGTGGCCATTTCGCAATAAACAAGAGCCAATGCCATTTTTTGAGGCGTCAGTTTCAATTTCCATTGGCAAGGGAGGGTTAAGGAATGTCAAGACAGGAGCATTCGTCAGTAAATGCTTTAATTATTGTCTTAACGACATCATGTTCGCTGGCCCACTTCCAATCCACATCGTGGCGAGTCAAGGCTCTGAGGGGCGCAGACACTTTTGATAAATTGGGGATAAACTTACCCAAAAATTTAACGATGCCAAGCAATCTTAAGAGATCAGCTTTATTTTGGGGATTTGGCATTTCCAAAATGGCATTAATATGAGAGTTACTGGCTTTAACGCCATCTTTCGACCTGTCTCAGAAATTTCACTTCTTTTGATTTAATTTGTATTTTATCCTGGCTAAACTTAATATTATATTTGACGGCTCGGTCAAGAACGCGCTTCAAATTTCTATCATGATCAGCCTCTGTTTTACCCGAAATAATGAGATCGTCAAAATATTTCTCTACTCCATCAATGTCACCAAAAAGCTCAAAATTTTTATTCTGAAAAACTTCTGGGGCAGAACTCAAACCAAAAGGCACCCGACAAAATTGGTAGCGACCAAATGGTGTGCCAAAAGTGCAGTAATCCGAAGATTGATCATCAATCTTGACTGGGAAATAACCACCTTTCATATCCAATACAGTAAAAATGACTTTGTTACTGAGTTTGCTAGCAATTTCGTCGGCTGTAGGATTTAAAAAGTGTTCACGCTGTATATTTTCATTTAAGTGTTTCGGGTCGACATACAACCTCAAATCTCTATTTTTCTTTTCCACTATTACTAGAGGATTTATCCATTCTGTAGACTTCTCAACTTTTCTAATAATGCCCTGATTCTCAAGGTCTTTTAGTTTCAATTTATCTTTATTGTGAAGAGCATTTTCTTTCAGAACAATTTTATGCTCAGTTGGGAATTGAACTAATCCCCCAAACACTTTCGGATCCAGAAATTCAACATCTTTCAAAGTATTAAAATTAACATAATGAACAGAATCAATTCGTTTAACTAACTCTAACTCCAGGCAACCTGATAAACCCAACAAAGACATTTGATTTTGACTATTAACTACAACAAACGGTAAATATGCCAACTTGTTATTAATAGTACACAATAGTGAGACTTCTCCGATGGGCTTAATTCTAAAATCAGGGCTGCCATATAAAATTAAAGTTATTCGAGATTCTTTAATGTCCTTCTTAATACCAAGCTTTTTTAAAATATGTTTACGAATCACACTTATTTCAGCCCCTGTGTCCAGTTTAAATTCGATAGCTGTACTTTCCACAACTATTTCCTTGGTCCACACGATATCAGCTTTCGACGTCAGCCCATCAACATTCCTCACTAATGACCCAATATAAAAATCATCGGAGTCACTATTACTCTGATCATTATCAACATTTTCACTCAATCCTGACATTTCCACCTCACTCACTTTTTTTCGTTGACTTCTATTCTCTTTCTTTTTGCATACATTATTAGCAAAGTAGTTTCTTCCTTGGCATTCATTACAAAATTCACCATATGCAGGGCATTTGCCTCTAACATGTTTGTAGCCACAAAAACTGCATTTGAATTTCTCCTGCGGACCATAAGACACATCACTTCTGTTTGAACCTTTCCTGAGTCTGATGGCACTTACAGAGACTCTATTTGCTAGAACCTAAGCTTGGGACTTGCTTGCTTCTACAGCCCTACAATAATCCACTGCTTTTTGCAAGGTTAGTTTTGGCTCTCTCACTCTAATCTGATATTGCTAACACAATTCGGTCTCTCACCATATCATCTGGGTCCTTGTATTCTGTTGAATTAACTGAAATTCTTAATTCCGTAACAAAACTATGACAACTCTGACCTTCTTTTTGAACTATCGAGTTGAAAACATATCTCTCAAAAATCAAATTTTTTAACGGGGCATAATGGGCTCAAATTTGTCTCTTATAGACGTCAATGAGGCTTTTTCAGTCGCAGTCAGTGTGAAGGAATTGTATATGTCCAATCCTTCCTCACCAATTATACTTAAAAATACAGCAACTTTTTTTACCTCGTCCTTTTCGTCCAAACCTGTGGCTGTCATAAATAAATCAAACTTCTGGATAAACCTTTTCCAGTTGTCTGCTACATTGCCATGTAGATTCAGTGGTTCTGGGGGTTTAAATAACGTTTTCATGATTCTCCGGTGTACACACAATTTTCAGGATTGAATAAATATTTAATTCAACATACTTGACACCATGTATTATTTAAACAATGAATGTATCTTCAAAACAAGTATTTATTTTAATCAGCATCCAAGATCAAAACTGTATTACAAAACTGCCAAGTGACAGGTGACAGCCCATCGGGGTACTCATTCTTGAAACTGGGGAGCAGTGTTCCCAGAGCCGCTTTCCAGTTGACCATCGAGCAATCGAGCTTTTGAGTTATGGTTTATAACACACTAGTGTGTTATTTGATAGTTTACCTGTCTAAATTGGCACAAATAATGACTCTTATAACTAGTAGGTGTTGGATAAATAAATGAATAGGGGAACATAGGTACTGCGAACTTTCCCGAAGCGTTTTCGCCATTTAGACATCATTACTAACATTTTTAAACAGGAGGGTGGGTGTATCGAGAACTCTGTGGTGCAGATTCCCAGTGAGATTATCCCAAATTAATTCTTAAGGATATGATGAGAGAAGATTGATGAGGGTATGACACTGGTTCAAGCAAATTTCATTCAAATTTAAATAAACTCACTCAAAATTCGAATTGTTTATTCATTCTGTAACAACTTGCGGAAAATGTATGTTGAGCATGAGAGTTGTTTATCATGCAACAAGCCTCTCTTTATCTCTCCTTCCTTTTTTTTTTTTCGCTATCGCCAATTGATCATTCCCTGTCCGCTCAGGCCTTACCTTTAGAAACAAGAAGTCCCCTTATTCCCTTTTGTTTTACCTTGTTTAAGTTAACGTTTCTCTATCTAACGTTAGGCCGCACCTTAAATATGCTTCATAATTTCTATCACGTCCATAATACTCAATCTCGGCACATTAGTGATGCTCTATCGCCTGCGAATCCAGTTACATGATTCACTGATTTCACTGATTAGTAAAGCACGGCAATGCTAAATGGCTTGCAGGAAGACTAATAAAGACACTTCCTTAACACGATTAGATTCTATTGATTTATGTCAATGAAATGAGTTGGTCTTTGAATCTCACCAAAAAGTTAGCACTAGTATATTACGTAAATGGATTAAACTTCAACAAAACCACTACTCGTCCCTCTGCCCCTCATAAAAAAAATATTATTTGACCCAACATATGATACAAACGTTATAAATTATTGCCAATAAGGAGTAATAAAATTTCCTATCTCCTTCGAAACCTCCCTGGAGGATTTCGCTTTCGTCGAGAAAGTAAAATAAAAGTGACAGACCAGAATCCGGGGTTGTAGGGGGCGCGGCGCCGGAATCGC